GAGAGGCGAGAGGCGCACTCTTTGCACCTGTGTGTGTGTGTGGTATGTGACGTGCTCTCTGCCAGTGTTGCCAACTGTCGTAAGAAGCTAAATCGAATGTTAAGCTACATTAAATTGGCAATTTGGTTCGTATGTTGGGACACAAAATGACAAAGAACTGCCTTCTTTTGGGCAGTGTATTGTGAAGGCATTTATAAACGTTTATTGTATTGAATCAAAAATAATATATATATACGGACATATTTATAGAACAAACCATTGCCTTTAATGATGTTTCGCTTATGCGAATTCGACTGGATCGGTTGAAAGTAGTTAAAAAAGTTAATTTAATTGTTTGGGCAAATTGTCTTTAGTAGGTGCAAAAAGCTGGATTATTAATCTAATCAAGCCGAAACTTCTGCTTATTATATTTTGACGCTATCTTACAGGTTTCAGCAATTTTCCTTTAAATAGCTAAAAATCGAAACACTGTGATTGGCCAAATTTGACTACAAAATAGCTAAATGTGGCAACACTGTCCTCTACCTGGCTCTGTGCGTCTCTCGCTCTTTTCACGACATATGGCGGAAATTTCTGCACACTTGGGCCGCAATTACTAGAGCTTAGTTGTAACACGTTCAGTTCTCATTTCGATTTCCAGTGGTGCGATCGTGCGCTCGCACGCTGGCTCGGTGAGTCCGCGAGGCGCGATATCTATCCAAGATCAAGTCCACATCAGTGTTATCCTGTAAACCTAGTGTCCTGTTCGTACGTGTAAGACGTGGTGCCAGCAGTGCACTCGCTTTGTATCGTTCATTTGCAAAAGTAATTAAAACGAACCGCAAATCCTTCGTCCTTAAACGGCAGCAGCAACAGCAACAACAGCTCCAACAACAACAACAACAGCAACCTAAGCTTTTAGCCATAATATTCATTAATGGATAACGTTGCCAAAGTGGTTTCGCATGTTTGTTTCTTAACAAATATTTATGAGAGCGCTTAATTGCAATTCATTCAGTGTCGCCAGCAGAAATATTGTTTGCCGAGCCAATATTGATTAGAGATTGAGATTCAATGCTGAAGAGGCTGTTATTGATATTTGGTACAGGAAATCGTCTTATTGATCTTCGCACCCAACAACTGACCATTAATTATATCCGAGTCTGCAAATGAGGTGACATCGCGATCTCTAGTCGGATAACCTACCAATAGATACATTAAACTGTTGATCCTGATTGACTTTTTGGTGATCAAAGCGAATGCCAATTTTTGAGCGCCAGGAAGCTGACATTTTAAGTGTGAAATATTGGCAATAAGTGGTTAAACGTTTTTAATTTACAATCCGGTCTCAGGCTGATTTTCGAAGATACTTTTTAAAATTCACTTAAGAGGTGCTTCACACTCTTCGCAAAGTCAATTCGTGAAAAATTGATGTCGAAAATCGGGCTCCAATTTATTACCAACGACCTTGATGAACATTTATTTAAGTCGTGTTCAAATTTATAGAAATATTTATTTACGATTTTTTCAAAATTCAAATCAAATTTGAGTTAAAATGTTGCATGCTCGAAAGTTAATCTTTCTGTTTTGTGGTAATTTACTAAATTGTTTAAGATCTATGCAATCTTCATTTTATATATTTTTTATACAATTTTCGCTTTTATCCGATCGACTGTGAACTCTTTTGTAAACGTCTACAAAACTTATAGTAAATTTCTCACGCTCGTGAAACGTGTAATGCCTCCAATTTTCAGACAAACCCTGTTCCGGGAAAAGCCGGGTAATATCCGCTATTCATTAAAATTGTAGTAAATATGTGCATCTTAATGGTAACAAAAAAATACGCGCTGCAGCAGGTTGTGTATTTTTGACAGACAGTTCTCTGCTTCTCTCTACTCCGCATTATACACACTTATCACATTTAAATAAAAAATGAATGTATAATAATTACGAAACATGTAGGTTTATTGGCTTTTTGCAAATGTCCGTGCGTTCGTTATTTTTAAACTTGCAATATATCTCGTATCTGTCAGGGTGTTTAAATCAATATTTCCCACAGCCTGCGAGCTAGTCCTGACTACATGTATTCAAATTGGAAATAGGCTTGATCTAAGCATAGGACCTTCATGTTAATCTGGTGGCCATCCAAAAGTAGGCCTTTAACAATAAATGCACATCTGGACACACATGAAACTAAATTTTAGTTGCATGCAGTCGTTATGACCGTCGGCATTTGCAACGCCCACATAAATAGCTTTCGCGCTGCAACGACAGAATTAGATTAATGATTCCAACAACAAAAATATGTGTCATAAAAATTCTCACATAATATTTGCTCTTGAACATGCATATTTTTGCGTTGTACACAATACTGCGAAATGTTTAGAAGAAGAAAAAATAACTAAGTTTTGCTGTGGAAAATTATAAAATTATGTTGAAGGTTTCGGGCTAAATTATTGTGAATTAGCCTAAGGTAACTACGAAATAGAGTTTAAAGTTTTTATATCCTTGTGAATATTTTAATTTTATCGCGGAATGCGTGTCTCCGACTCCATCAGCCTGGGCGATATGTTTTTAACTCCGCTCCCTACATATAAGATACATATATCTTATTAATATTGGAATAACATTTCATGTTCTTCCATCGGTCATAAATGAGTTATTCGAAATATTTCCTATGAAATCTGAAACAAATGCATATCAAATCGGATCAAAATATGATATATTACATATATGAAATAAGCCATTCTTAGCCATGCATGGATATATGATCAATGGATTCTATCTTTCTCAAGTGTCTCATAAAATCCAACAAGCAGGAATGTTCCAGGGGGATGCAGCCAACAGTACAATGCTCTCTTCTTAGTGAAATAACAAATGACATCAGTTGAAGTCACTTCAAAACTAACTCCAGGTCGCCTTAAAGCCGTGATTTTAAAGCTAATTTCCAATTAATGAAGAACTGCCTATTTTTAGCTAGATCTTTAAAGCGGACAATCCGTCATTTACCTGAACTATCTTAAGAATTTGGCCTTAAAATTGTTGATTATAGACATTCGCGATTTGCCTGTTTCCTTGGCTAGAAGGAACATCGCAGTCTCTGGGCATTCCTTACATTGGGCTCTTTGAGCCTTTCTCTGGCGGCGCTCTTAAGTAACTTTCCATGTTACATATTTTCACTTTTTGAAAAAATTAGAAAATAAGCATATCATGTTAACGACAGTTTTCACAGCGTCACAACAGAAAATGCCAAAAGTATTTCACATGTGGCTAATCTATTCAAATGCAAAAGCCAGAAATTCCTGCCAAACTTGTAGCACACAGCCGAAACAAGCCGGCTGCTGCCCAGTCATAAGTATTACAATATTGCAAGCTGACCGACCGCCAGACAGATTTCGGTTGAGGTTTTGATGCAGGCTGCAGGCCAACAAGTCATAAATATGCCAGCCAGGAAACCTGGAGTTTCCCCACGCCAGACATCAAGGTGGGCGTTGTTGATACCTGGTTACGAGCGACTGCAGCTCAGATTTATTATAGAATTTTTGCATTTAAACATGATTTTGGGCGGTCTTACAAAAAGGTTGCACAGTAACAGCACCGGGGAAGTGACAACTTTGGCCCGTGCAAATTGGACACACTTAACACGTTTAGCCGTAGTCGCGGAGTCCATTTGATATACTTTCTAGTGGAAGCGCGGATGCAGAGCATGCCGTTAAAATTAACATTGTCTACAGGTGTCAGTTGCAAGCGCACTTTAATGCCTCCATAAACAAAATCCGAAAAACCCAAGATCAATTGTTTTCTTTTAGTTTGTTCGTGAGGCAAAAGAAAATGTGTACGTAAATGGGGCGCAAAAATATCCGTAACATGCAGAAGCAACATTTATTTTTATTTTTTACTTTAAAGCAATGTTTATATTTTTATGAACCCATCGAAAATTGGTAAAAGGGTTTAATGCTTTAGTGCAAATTTACGTAACACGCAGAAGGAAGCATTTTCGGACCCATATATCCGTATATATATAAAACTGTTTGTGACTGAATGACGGACTGACTGATTGATTGCCCAAACAGTAAGATCTAGGAAGCTGAAATGTTCACTGTAGTTACGTTAAGGCGGGGTTTCGGGAATATATGTACTGGAACAGGACGTTGAGCTGACCAACCAAGAGTGCATTTCCCATGTTGGGCAAATGTATGAAGAAAGTTTGATCCATTTTATTTATAAAGAAGTTATTTTAAAAATTCATTTTCAATATATCGAGCCTAGGCAAGAAATTCACGATGTGACGTCGGTTGTGAACTAGGTGAAAATCAAAATAGTCAAACAAATCTTTATATATATACAGACTGATCTAGACTTGATGATATCCTCTATCTACCTATATATAAAGCCTAGGTGTAGAGGATATCTTCTCGTCAGTCGACTTCTTGCTTTTATAGATCTGCGAGCGAATCTACGAGCGAGTATATAAACGGTCGGGTTTTTTTTTTGTTATTTATCATTTCAGTTTATTTTGAGATGGGCTATAGAATTACCAACAGCTGGTCTTTTGTATTTGTGGCGGGCTTTTGTTCAACAGCCTCGTTTCGTTTTCGTTTCATAACTTAAAGGCAATGCTATAGTCGCTGTTCCATTTCGATCTGAGAGTATTCGGCTAGCTAGTAGGTGTTGTTGGGCTGATAGGTGTGGCTGATGGCCAAATCAGTGCAAAAAAATGACGCTTTTTAATCATTTATTAAACAACAAAATGCATGTAGAACTACTTAAAGTGCTGGCAACAAAATGCTGTTACAATACATTGTAAAGTTCATAAGTAATGAGTTGAAGAAGCTGAGAACGAACATAACCATGTTTTTAATGTTCTTTTGGATTTTATGGTTTTCCCAAATCATTGCCATATCGACAGTGTTCATGAGGTGAGACAATGAGTTACATAGACATTTCTAAAACCCATCATATTAATGTGGCACCTTCCTGACTCATTTGTAAACAAATGCAATAATTGCGTCTCTTTCCAGCTTGCCCGAAATAATTACCGAGCTGCCCGCCGTTACCGTGGCGGAGCTGCCCCTGGAGGTTGAGCATGTCAAAGATCGCTTGGAGTCAGTCTTACCGCACGAGGCGACGCACAGTTCGGGTAACAAAACCGAGAGTCAGCAGCCGCCAAATCAGACGTTTGAAATTGCCAAGGAAGCAGCTCAGAAAGGTGCGTAGCCATTGAGCATTATCGAAAACGTGTTGAATTTAAATGAGTTCTTAATATTCGTAGCTGAACTGAACATCAACGATCCGGGCGGAGGATTGGAGCTCCATGCGTTCGCCAGTTCCGAATCGAATGCTACCGTGGATGGCAATGTGACCAGCGAAGGAGGCCAGATCGCAAATGCTGCGGCAGCCGCAAGCAGCAATGAGACTGTCGAGGAAGTGCCGATGCCCGTCTTCTCGGAGTGGGCGCAAAAGCAAATAGAGGCAGAGGCGAGTCGCGAGCAGGCCATGGAGCTGGAGCAGCAGGTTGTTAACAATTCGGCGCAGCGTCGAAATGCCACCGGCTCGGGCAGCGGCAAGCCGCCGTCGCTGAAGTTGCGCGCCAAGAATTATGCCTCGCCCGACTGCGGCGCCAAGATAATTGCCTCGAATGCAGATGCCACCAACACGGGAGCTGTGCTGAGCCACTCGAGTGACGAATATATGCTCAGTACATGCGGCAGTCGCATCTGGTTCGTGGTGGAGCTATGCGAGGCCGTGCAGGCGCAAAAAGTGGAGCTGGCCAACTTTGAGCTCTTTAGCTCGTCGCCAAAAAACTTTACAGTGGCCGTGTCCAAACGGTTTCCGACTCGCGACTGGAGCAACGTGGGCCGCTTTGCGGCGGAGGACAAGCGCACGGTGCAGACGTTCGAGCTACATCCGCATCTGTTTGGTAAATTTGTGCGCGTAGACATACATTCGCACTATTCCAAGGAACACTTCTGTCCCATTTCGCTTTTCCGTGTGTTCGGCACATCCGAGTTTGAGGCGTTCGAAACAGAGATCCGGCACAGCGATGAACTGGACGACTTTGACGATGACTTTGGCGGGCAGGAACAGTTGCACAAGACACTTTCCGGCACCGATGGCGGCGGTGCCAACATATTTCAAAGCGCCTCCGATGCGGTCATCCAGATGGTCAAAAAGGCTGCCCAGGTGCTGGTTAAGCCCTCCAAGCCGTTACGCTGGTCCACCGATTCGCTGCTCTGTTTCACACCCACTGCTGGCCTTTACAGCTGCCAGAGCTGCAACAGCTCTGCCGTGGATCGCATTAACAACCTTCTGTCCTGTCAGTCGCAGCAGCTGCAGCAGCTCCTCCTGCTGCCGCAGCTGCGCACACACCTGCTGCAGTCTCGCGTTTGTCAAGCAGACTATAACATCAGCCTGAGCTTGTCCAGGGAAGAGGAGCGCGCGACAAGCGGAATGGACAAGCGCCAAAGCTTCTATCTGAGCATGTTGCCTGCAGAGCATGTGGGTGCCATGTGCAAGCTTCTACAGGCGGAGCACAGCAGCGTCGTCGAGTATCCGGTTGAATTGACGAAGGCTGAGCGGCAGCGGAACCTCGATGTAGCACAGCATTTATTCGAAAATCTGACCATAGCTGATCCGTCAAAAGAGCCGGATTCAGAGGCTAAAGTTACCGTGCCGAATGATTCCTTGCCTGCCGTCACACCTACCTTGGAAGTAGTATCTGCCGAGATGTCCACGGCCAGCGAAAAACCTACAACCGATGCCCAGCTGGATCCACAGCCAACAGATAGCTCCACAATAGCGGCCACACCATCTGACGTGAATATATTTAATGTACCAACTGACACCCAGAAAAACCCGACACAAGGCTCAGGACCCGTTGTTCCCGACACGCCGACGGCTAAGCCGGAATCGCAAGTTGACCCCAACGAAGTGGAGGCCTCCAAAGCGCCTCCTAGCCCTACGACTAGCCACCCACCAACAAGCTCGGGCGAATCGGACAGCGCAGATCTTGTAGGCAGCGGCAACGGACTGGATGACAGCAATCTGTCCAACTGGGAGAGCATCGATAGCCTGCTGACTACAACGGTTGCATCAATAACGGCAGGTGGCGGTGCCGCTGCGGCTGCCGCGGCCGTGGTCAATGGCAATGCAAACATCGGAGGCACTGCCAATGCCGGAAATGCGGGTAGCCTAAACTTACAGCCAAAATTAACGCACGGACCGCAATCGGAGAGCGTTTTTATAAGGCTATCGAATCGAATTAAGGTGAGTAGCAATTAACTTGGTTTGCCTTGGGAGGGAACTCTCATCATTTAAAAGATGAAAAAAAGTTGCAGAAGACAAAAGCAAATCTTCAGGAATATATATTTTCGATCTAAGCGAGCAGAAGACAAAAACAAATCTTCAGGAATATATATTTTCGATCTAAGCGAGCTGAGTATATTTAGCCATGTCCTAATGAGAGATCGAGTTGATTAAGAAGACTGCAAAAGACTAATTTTTTAAATATATAATCTCCCTTACCATACGCAGAACAAGTTTATTGAATAATCTTTTTTTTTTTCCTTTTATCCGATCGATTTCCAGACATTAGCATAAATTCAGAAATTATAGGAGCTGCATATGAAGTTTCTCGTTTAATGTACACAGATTGAGTTTATTTCACTTTTTTTTTAGATACCTCCTTTCTTTTTAAATTGAAAAAATGTGCTGTTTAGTTTTTACACACATTATGCAGCCATATTTGGATTGTTCATTAAATGTTTAAACAGATCGGACTATAAGCACCGAAGATATGCAAGAACAAATTTACTTAAGCTGCGTATCAAGAAGGAAGTTATATTGATTGTAAGGGGAGCTTGGGTTAAGGGTAACTCGCTATTGGGCACTCTGACTTGTTCATATTGGGGTTTCAAAGAAATCTAGCCAACGCGGATGTCAGTAAGGACATAGAAACTTCGTTAGTTCCCACCCGCTTCCGTAGCGTGCCTGTGGCAGCCTCGCATGTTGTAGACGTATTACGGTTAACTGCTATTACACCTGGCCACACCCCTATTACGTTATTCCAGTTTCACCTATTTGCGAAGGCGGCCTTGTCATGGCCACTGTTTGGCTACATCAACAATGACGTCAAAGTCGCCAAGCAGCCGGGCGTTGTTTAATGTTGTTATCCAATTCTGTCTTTTGCAGGCGCTCGAACGTAATATGTCGCTGTCGGGGCAGTATTTGGAGGAGCTGTCGCGTCGTTATAAAAAGCAGGTGGAGGAGTTGCAGCAGACGCTTACACAACAGTCGCTCACAGTGCGCACTCTGGAAGATCAGAGCCGACGCTTTATTGACCAGGAACAACTCTACAAGCAACAAAGCGCCGAGCTGGCCGGCGATGTGCGTGCGCTCACATACCAAGTGCAGGCCTGCATCCTCGTCATCATCATAGTGGGCACGTGCATCTTTCTGATGCTAGTGCTGGGAACTGTCTACTATCGCAAGTTGCGGCGCCAAACCCAACAGTTGCTTCCGCAGGCAACGACGGGTAATAGCCAGCAAAAGCTCAGCCGTCGCAAGTCATATGAGCAAATGATGCAGCAGTCGCCCGGCAAGCAGCGGAGGCCAAGCGAGGAAGCCATGCTCATACTGAATGGCTGCGGAGACTCGTCCCTGACGGAACAGTCCGACGCTGGCAACGGCAACGGCAGGCAGCGTAAGTTATCAGTCTGCTATGGGAGCAACAACAACATTGCCAACCACATGAGCAGCACAAGAGCTTCGCTGCACAGGCGGAAAGGTGCAAAGCATTCCTGGCACGCTAGCTTAGATTCAGCGCAGGTGACGTGCGGTGAGAATCCCGACAAGTTCTTCGATGTGGGTAAGATAACTGATTAAAGCCGCGACAATAGCAACTTATGCTATATACATTTATTAATTTGTTGCAGACACTCTCAAGAGTAATAAGATGCAAAATAAGTCCGCCAAAAGGAAATCGCTGCAACAGTTCCAACAGGAGCTGAAACGCCAAGAGTCGGCACCTGCCAGCTACACAGAAAACAGTCTAACTGAGGAGCCTACGCAGAGCGACTTTGATGAGAGTCTCATTCTGGACGACGAAGATCTGTGCAACTTCATACCCAACACTGATTTGGCTTACAACGAATTTATGCCTGAAGGCCCGTCAGGATACCAGATCCTAGACACACTCGATGGAAAGGCTGACAAGGGTCAGACAGTGAAAAAGTGTCGACGCGTTTCGTCGCCAGCGTTCTTTAAGTCGCCGTTTAGCAAAAATAAGAACAAAGGAGGCAGTCTGAACGGCATGGGTGGCGTAAAGGGCAGCCAGTCGGCGCATGAGGCGACTTCTTGGGAATGGTATCGCCTGAGGCGAAGCGAGAAACAATCAAAGCAGTTGTCAGTGCCGAGTGTATCCATCTCTTCTACGCCCAATGCGAGCCTGGACAATTCATCTCTGTCGGAAATTAACTTTCCTTTTAACTCAACGCAAAACTCCTTTCGCATACTAGGCGAGGCCATACTCTCCTCTGGCGAGAGTAGGCCCAGTGGCAAGGGCAGCGCTGTTGCCGCCGGCAGCAGCAGTAGTAGTGGCGCCAGTACCACCTCCTCGACAACGAAAAAGAAGCAGCGTGCTTTCAATAATATATTTCGAAAAGTCTTTTGAAGAAGACGACGTTTGCCGACTATTTAAATGTTTTACTTATTAAATTGTTCCCTCAATTGTGTTCAGTTAGGTTTGTCTACCAACGGCATCAATTGGACTGATGTTATCTACGTAGATAATTAAAAATTTTGTGTGAATGAAACACTCCAGTTTTGTAAAATACCGGTCAAAAGATTCAATTCGTTTCTCTCAAGAGTTCCTTAGTGTTGCAGTAATATGCAAATGACTGTCAAATCAAATTAGTTATACCTTCATTTGATTTTTAATTGTAATAATATGCTCGCTGCTTGTATATACATTTAAACAATGGAAATCTACAATAATGAAAGTGCTTGCTTTCACGAAAGGCAAGCTTCTTTACTTAATATTCCAAGCCTTTTTTGCTCTTGCCCAGCGCTAATTAAAGTATTTAGTTTATAAGCATTGCAAATTGTCGCTGTATTAGTTTGTTATTAGCCTTATTACAGCCATTACTTATTGAAATAATTATAAATTGTACGTTTATTTAAAGTAAAAGCAGATAACATTTATTTATAAAATCACTACAAAATTAATTTTTATATTTTCAATTCGCTTAAAAATTCCGCAACATCGAGCGCGTCTTTGTTAGCCAATTTCTGATCCCTAATAGCACTGTTCAGGTGACGTCCGGCTGTACCCATGTGCTTCTTCCATTGCTCGACTGTTTTGTACTTTTCATCGTTTGCGCAGAAAATAACCTCATTGATATCTTCATCCAGTTTATAGCTACACACAGATGCAAACTCTTGCTGCAGATCGCCCATCGCCTCCTCGCGCAACGATTCGTCTCGACACACCAGATTTAACATGAAGAGGCCATTGGGCCCAATGATCTCCTTTATGTACATAAGTATCTTGTGGGCAAGAAAACTTTTGGGCGGACAGCTCATGCCCAGGGACAGATCCTTACTATCTACATCGAAAAGCACAGCTGCAAAATGTATGCCTGCAAAATTAAATGTGGTAAAGTAGTTCCAAACGATAATAAACGGCTTTTTTACCTTCATTGCAACAGCGCTCTACAAAGGCGAGGCCATCATCAATGACGACATGTAGGCGATCGTCTTGCTTCAGCTCAAAATATTGCTCAGCTACTTCCAGCATTATGGGATCTATTTCTACAGCCGTAATACGTGTTTGACTGCACCGAAAATTGATTTAATTTGGAAGAAAACAAATAATAAATAAGAAGACTTACGGAAATGCGGCATGCAGGAAACTGCACAGCCCACCGCCGCCCAGCCCAATGACCAGCACGTCGCTTTGTACATCTTTTTTCGGGCCCTGCATGGTCACGGCCAGCTGCACGCCCACAGACATGAAGAGATGATGATGGCATGCCAAGTAACCAAAGTCTATTTTTTTACGATCCTTTTTCCCTTTGATTTTAACTAAAAAAAAGAGTTAATAAGTACACATATGTATATAGATCGCCGCAAATTTCAATTCTTACCTGTTTTCACCAAAGCTTCTGATTGCACCACAAACTGATTTTTGAGGAATATCAGACGGCGAAGTGTCTTGCCATCGACTTCCACTTCTTCAATGCGAAAGTCGCCGGATAATTTAGAGAATCCAGAAATCAGCGTTTCCCGCATTCCTACTTCAGAGCCCAAAGATAAGTAGGGAATCTGTTCCTTCAGACCTGCAGGCGCGAGATTCGTAATGCTATAAGCCAGTTCGCTCTTCACCTCCTCCAGCGTGCTATAAACCTGATCGCGATGCAATGTCACAACAGCCAGTCGCTGAAACTTGGCGGATGCCTGCAGTTTTTTTCGACCTGCTGTTGTTGCAAAAAGCCACTCGGTTTCTCGCCCTTGAGGCACAATAAAAGCGGCATATTTGCCAAGACCTCGCGATGGCAGTTGATCCATGACATGAACCGTGTATCGAGGCGTTGGCTCTGCAGCCCGATGCAGGTCCATGGTGACTTCATTATGGCCAACAATACTAGAGCGTGCCAATCCATTGCAGACCAGCGCTGCTTTCTGCACAGAGGCCACAGCATTAGTGAGGTCCGCCGCACAACTGAAACGTTGCATTTTGTCGCTACCGAGTCCGAACTCAAGGATCTATAAGAAGTCAAGTTATGCAAGAGTATCGTGGCAAACTGAGGCAGTTACTCACCGGCATAGGCAAGCTCTTAAACTTGGTGGCAATTATAACAAAAACAGGTAGCGTTAGTGATTCCTCGGCATTTCTTTCCTTGTTGGCACGCTCCACATCCAGACAGTGCACAATGCGCAACATGCAGTTGTTACGCGGCAAGAACTCCAGCAGATAGTCAAGTATGTGCTCCTGCAACATGGATATACCAACGTACCGACCGCCATTTCTGCAATTTATGAGGAGAGCATTTATAATACACCACAATTATTGATGCGGTCAGGTGGATTTACCGCATTGTGCGCAATATTTCTGCAAAATAACGATCTACAATATGTTTGGTGTCCTCGGCATCATTCACAAATATGGCATCTAGTGTGCCCTTATCCAAAGCCACGGAGAAGCTCTCGTCTGAAAATGACATATCCGTTGCGTCCATCTGAAGGAACTTCATGTCCGGCCGTGTTTTCGCGTTTAGTTCTATCATTTTTTTTACAGCAACAGGAGAGATGTCAATGTTAGTTATATCCCGAAAGCCCGTGTCATACATGTCCATGCTGAGCTTTGAATTGCCGCAACCAAGCATCAGAATTTTGTCGGCGGGCTTTATATACTTGTGTATCTGATCGCATAGTTCCAAATACTCGCCATACCTGAAATACTTAATAATTGCAATTAAAATATTTATCACTGAGCCTTTTCCTCCTCATGTGCTAAACACGTAAAGACCGGCATACGGTGCATGTGTTTATTACATGCGTGCAATTACCATTCAAACGCCTTTTCACCGCGTTTTTTGAAAAACTCATTCCAGTAGTCCGTTTGAGCAAACTCCTCACGCGTTCTTGGCAACAAATTCATTGTTTGTTCTCAGCAAATTAATTGTAGTCAACGACTAGCACGCTTGTTGTTTATCGCGCAATTGGTGCTACTTCAATGTTATTAAAAAATGTACTAAATTTTGCCACATAATTGTGACGTCATGTAGCAGAGCGTAAACTTTATTTGAGTAATTGTTTTGTTTATGTCGCCAGGTAAATAACTTTGAAATAATTTGGATTTTTGCTAGACCTATATTTTCTATCCCAAAAAAAAATGGTTTCTTGTGTAAATCAAATAATTAACAAATAAATCTTCGCGATCCTGCAATGCAAAGCGTGTGAGTATCGATAACAATTCGTGTTGAGTGTCGTAATTCGATAGTAGAGTACTTTGTGTACCCTTAATGTCACAGTTCTCAATATTATTCACAAGTCAATAAGTAGTTTTTTTATTTAAAAGTCAAAGTAGGGAGTACCGTTAATTCTGGTATTTTGATGTCAACAGGAGGAGTTTTCTGTAAACTTAAGCAGCTTTAGCCATTCGCAAGCATATGCAATTTTTGATTTTGCCATTCACTGCGAATAGCACACAGCTGAAAACTGATTTTTTGCTTGTTAAAGTTAACTTGCGTTTTGTTTCTGTTGGATTCGTGGGCATTGACATAATTGATTTACCCCTTTTTGTGCAATCTCATGCTGCTACGTGCACATACAGAACAGAGTGAATGTTGAGGATTGTAGAAAGCATTACAGGGACAGAGTAAAAGTAACAGCATCATAAAAGGGGGAGGCGATCCGATGTTATCGCTTGCTACGAAGTTTTTCACATCTAAATACGACACAATGGAAATCAATTGAGGCACGTCAATGTCAACGTCAGTTGCACACAATAAAAGCAGCAACACCTATCGGCTTGTACGAAGTGTTAGTGGAAATGTGAAGAGCAATTGCAAGTCGTAGACCCTAGAACTGGAACAGGTGGAACAGTAAGAGTTGCAAATGCGTGCCGCAGTTGGACTTGTGCAGTCCCATGCTAGCGTGGAGCCAGTTATGTCACGTCTTGATTACGAGCAGAATGCTCTGCACCATAGCTGCCTGCTGGTGCTGCTGCGCGGTGTGGGGCCTTCACGCGCCCGCATTTTGCAGCGGGCCTTTGAGAAGGTGCGACGTGTCAATAATATCAAAGTAACGGGTAACTCTACTGAAACTATATATATGTAAATAGAAGTGAGACATTTGATAATGCTTTAAATTCTCGTCTAGATTCTAGCGGCACTGTGCGTACCATTTATTTTCGCTTCATACATGATCATCCTGTGGAGCACAACGATTGGGGCGACTTTCAAACGCATCGTCGCCTGCTCGGCCTCATAACAATTGGAAAGTTTGACAACCAAACGGAGCTTAACGAGCTGTGCCGGCACCACGAATCCCTTAAAGTGCGCTATGGCAGCACGCTATACGAGTCACGTGCCATATTCTTTGGACCCGATGCAGACACAAAGCACACTTCAAGCACAAGCACCGTGGTCAATGGACAGCCTGTGCTACAAACAATTGGTGAACACACCGCCAACGCAGATGTGGTAATCAAGGAAGAGCAGCCTCAGCTTCCTGGCCGCCTTCAGGATGAGTACACCACGCCGTCCAATTTCAAGTCGCAGGCATTTTTTTATCGGGAGCAGGATGCCGGTATGGATCTGGAAGCACGTATCGGTGATTTTTTGAGCGCTCTGTTTTGGGTGCTGGAGTCGCGACGCCTTGAACGTTCGCGTGAGAAAGCCGACAAGGTCAGTCTGCTGCTGGCGCCCTTTGAGAAACGCGATTTTGTAGGCTTGGACATGGAGTCGCGCAACAACCGCAAGCGCTGCGTGGGTCGTGTGATGAAGAACTTGGCGGATCTGTCCTTGCAGGCTGGTCTCTTGGACGATGCACTAAGCTTGTATCACAATGCCAACGAAACACTACGCTCAGTTGGCGATTCCCTATGGGTGGGCGCGAGCGAAGAAGGATTGTGCGCGGCCTCGGCTGTTTTTCTGTATCCACAGATGCGGGAGATTGAAACGCTGCACAGGAACGCATCTCTGCAAGAAACAGGCATGCTTATTTTGGATTTGTTTTATTTTTTTTTTTTACTGTTGTATGCTAATATCGCACATAATTTTAGGTACTTCACCACTGCGAAATACGCCGGAGAAGTGGCGTGCCAGCGATGCGACTAAGAAAATAAATACGGCCGCCGTGATGACGGGAACCACGACCGCGGCATCAGCAAACTGCGCAGAGGCTCTTACCTCACACTCTTCTTCCTGCTCATCGGTGTCATCCCTTTTGACCAACAATTCCTCAGCATCGGGCACGCCCACAACTTCAACATCCTCTTCCTCGACATCGACAATATCGGCAGCACCGTTTGGCCAGCGTAATGGCGAGCTGCCCGGGAATATACTGAAGCCCGAGGAGATAACCAATTATTATCGGAAGGCGATAATTAACTATAGCAAGTACCGCCATGCCGCAACTATTGAGACAGAGGCTGCTCTTAAGGCTACGCGCATTTGTATTGAGCAGAATCGACCGCTGGATGTGGCCATGTTTCTTCAAAACATTCTTTACATAAATCTCAGCATGAGCGAGTCGGAGCGCGTCAAGCGATTCGAAGTAATCACGGAGCTGTATCAGCAGATCGGATACCAGCGTAAGGCTGCCTTTTTTCAGCGCCTGGCTGCGCTTAAGCATGTTCAACAAGGTTCTCAAACACCAGACTGGACTCAGAGCTATCGTCTAATGCTGGGCAGCTTTACTGGCTATCTGCTATCGCTGGATCCTCTGGAAGTGCTGGAGAATGGAGCAGGTTGGCCGGCACTACAAATAGATCTTGTACAGAGTCTTATATCTGCAGCGAGACGCCTGGGACACTCTGCTTTGGCTACTCGCCACATGACGTTTCTGCTTCAAACACAATGGGACAATATGTCTGCTACGGAGCAAAGTGAAATGGCTGTACAGTTGCAGGTGTGGATTTTGAGATACATTTTGTTAAAGTTCGATTTTATGATGTTGCTTTGATGAAATTAATTATTATAATTTTAATTAATTTTGAGCAACAAAATTAAAACGAAACTATTTTTTTATTGTCTGCTAATAAATATCGTTAACATTTTCTCTTTAATATAGAATCTGAGCGCACAATGTGAAGGCTCGCCTGTGCCTCTTGTGCTAGAAAATGGGACTGTGATACCGCCCGCCAATCTCACGGATCTACCATACTGCACGCAGGTGGTAGCACGAGATTTACCTGCCCACTTGCGCCCTCTGCGAATCAAGATCGCCAAAGCCGACAGTGGCCCATTTCTGTTCACACCTATACACTTTAATTCTGTTGATCGCCGGGATAAGAAAAAGGACAAAAACAAAATAGGCATGCGTAATAATGGGACCCTAATCTAAATAGACTTATTTATGGTTTGCTTCTTTTACAGACTTTTTATGGGTGCAAAACGATCTATGTGAGGTATGCGTTACCCTTCGCAATCCATTGCCCTTTGAGCTGGCCGTCACCGACATGCGTCTGCTTACAAATGGAGTAGTCTTTGAATCGTTGCCCCAGACAATTGTTTTGCAGCCACATGTGCCCACGAATGTCTCTCTACACGGAACACCTATTGAAACTGGCCAGTTGGATCTGCAGGGATATAGTACTCATACGTTGGGTGTCAAGTCTAACTGCCGGCTGAAGCACATGCGAGGACGCAACTTTCCGCCCAACTATCTGTTGGATGTGATACCAGCCCTGCCAAGTATCACTATCAAAACATCGCTTCCACAGTCGGCCACATTTAGCAACATGAACAGTGCGGACCTTGTGGTTACATCTGCAAGTCTGACCTTATACAATGGAGAATCCTCAAGTTGCATCATAACCATCCGGAACGAGAGCAACACTTTGCCGCTGGAACACCTCGAAGTAAGCATCAATTCAAATGTGGAGCAAGATATGCATAAGAAAATGTTTCGAATTGATGAAGCGGCTCTGCAGGTAAACTTATACAAAAAGTGTAAAATGGTCTGTGATAACAGCCCTTACGTTCCAGGCTCAGCTGCCCGTGCCTCCGCTAAACACTATTGAATTTATACTACACATTTATGCGGATGCTGATTTTGTTTGCCCCCTGCCAGCCGACTCAATACAATCTTGCGCAGCCGGTGCCTCTTCTGAATATGGGGCTTCTTCGCTATCACAGTACTCTAACATTTCCGGCCAGTCTGCTAGCCTGCCCTTGCGTGTCAGCTCGCCGCAGCATCGTCGCCAAGATCCGCAGAATATAAGTATTCGTTCAACCTTTTCCGGCGTTCAGCATTCGCTAGCTACTTTAAGCCTACAGCCAGGCGGAGCGGGGTCGAACTCGCGCGCCGCACAAAACAGCCAACATGTAGAGGCGCAACTTCGTCTTAAGTACTCGGGCGGAGAGGCCTTGGTTGTAGGATACTGTCGTCAATGTGCCGTGTCTTTTAACTTAGAGCTGCTTCCTAGTGCCCAGATAACTAGCTGGGATGTGCTCCCCGCTGAGATGTACATAAGTAAACGGATCTTTCCATAACATATGATGTATTAACTTTGAAACTCATTGCAGACCTTCACAGTTCTACTTAGTATTGGACATATCTAACCTAACCGCTCAAGAAATGTCGCTCAATTACACTGACAACAAGAATATACTCATCGAGGCCAAAGAAAGTTGTCGCGTACCTATTCCAGTGGACCGATGCTCATTGGAGCAAATTTGTGTAGCACGTGCAGCGGAAGTTGCTGAGAATCTGGAACGCGGTACTATATTCATGCCTTTCCCATTGTGTCTGTCTTTAAATAACATTTTCTTCCAAACGCAGAGCTGTGTTTTCGAACGCAACTTCTGTCCTTCAGCGAGGCAATCAGCAAGCTTTGCTCAACTCACATAGCTGAGCGCGTAAAAATAAATTGGCTGCTAACGGGCACTGATATTAAAGGCATTGCTTCGCTACGTGGAATTGTTCTCTCCCATAGTATGGTGGATTTGACCACAATCTCGCCTCTTCAGTGGGGTAAGTAATTATTGCCTTTCTATCAACGTTTTATTAATTGTTTGGTTTCTTTTGAAAGCTATAAGCTTCCAGGATACGCCAGTGCAGCCACACAGCGAAATAATATGCACCGTCGGGCAGCGAGCACTGCTTAGCATCAATCTCACGAACCAATCTTTACAGCCACTCAAGAATTTGGTATTAACTATCAAATTCTATCAAGACTACTTAAATGGCATAGAAAACTACAATCTAGAGACTCGGGTGGCAATTTCTGGACCTAACCGGTATGGGCAACATATTCTCTCGCTATAAAATTGAAAAAATAATATTTGTATACTGCAGAATAACAATCCCTGTTTTGGATAAGTACGAGCAATCGCAGCACAATTGCTCTGTGATATTTTTTACGCCTGGTCGTTTCAAGACCAGCATTGAGTGCGCCACCAAACCACAACAGAGTAGCAGTATTTTGAGCCGGTCCTGTCCAGAAGCTACCAACTTAAGTCAATTAGAAACATTGTCATCTCCAGCAGCCAATTTAAATACTCTGTCGGCTTCTAGCCTTGACGAGCAACAGGCGCATATATGGAAATTTATACCACCTATTGAGGTGACTGTTGTAGAGCCGTGATTGAGTAAATTGTTAATGATTTCTAGTTTAATTTTGTTGTATCTGTATTTGTATTTGTTTCTGTATTACGTATACCTAGTACTGTATATGTGCTGCCTCCTGTAGTTCTATGCGATATATGATAGATAGCGCTGTTAATCTGTGTAAACACAAATATCTTACCGTTGTTGTAAAATGAAAAGCAATTGTTTTCAAATTAATAAGCATTACATGTATATATAACAAAAAATATATATATGATTAAGCTCAAACTACGCACTATGCTTCACAGCTGAAAATGCCATAATATATGTAAATAGTATGCTCCATATATCTATATGTATACAGCTTCAAACCTGAAAGTGAAATATTGATAGGTAGATGTTTCGCTTATTAAACCCTCAAGTTGAGCGCGTCAACCACAACAAATTTGATAACATGTATGTATTTACAATATTTTTATACAATAAATAAATGCAGAGTTTTGACGGCAACTTTTTAAAAATAGTACATAAGTCCATTTGCAGAGTTTCCAGAGCCACCTTTAGCCCAATCGACGTATATCATCCATCGTGTAACCATTGCGATGCATTAAAATACACAAGAGGATGTATAGGTAGTAGCCGCCGGGAATAATCGTCAACGCGCCAATTATTGTAACTGCCCAGATGCGATCTGATCGTTCCTGACCTACGTCCGCAATCCAATCTAATGTCGCACAACAAATGCAAATCTATGTAAATACAGATCGAAAAGACGGATCATCCCAATTTGTATTGACACTCAGCATACATATGTACATACAGTTCCCCCGATGAACAATGTGAGTATGATGGCAATTGTCTTCCACGGTGTCGACTCATCTACATTCGGCGGTAGCCATTGCTCGTTTACAAAGCCATCCGTCTCGGAGGCACCTTCAGCGACCTTGCTGTTGCCACCAGTCGATGCCCCAGTGACATTCAGGCGCCGTCGTGAGTCCGATTTGGTAGGCAACATATTTGGAAACTTGCTCCGATTCATTAGGTCAATTGTACAATCGTTGTGGATAACGCGGCGCTCGATTTGTAACAGTTGTTAGAAGTGCTTGTCACCATTTCAACTGTGATTTTTCTGATCAAAGTTAATGTTGAAAACAGCTGTGCAAGAGTTGCACTTGTACAGCTGACAGCCATATGATATTTGTTTTTTAATTAATGGTGCAAAAGTGATCCATTTGTCATGTGCTGAATTTACCGAAATTCTGACTGTTCTATTTAATCTAAAAACTTTTCTGCTTTTAGGCACGCGTTGGGTTCTTACAAACGAACGTTTTTAAAATATTAGACGTGTTCTTTTCTCTTTTGGTATTTAAACGCTGAATTTTAAATTAAACTGTAAATTTATATTTTTGGTATTTTTTGTTGTTGTGTCAGAACTTGAAAACTAACTAAAAGCCTGCACGGACAATTTAAAAAAAGCCTGAAATTTTTATTTATTAACTCTGACACTTTCATTAGGTTGTGGTTGATAATATACGTTTTTTTTTACAATTTGGATTGATAGTTCGAGATAGGGATGGAATAAGTTGCGATATTCGAATATCTATGTCTATTCGGGATTTTTCGTGCCTTTATTTTTGCAGCCTTTGGCCACACTCCTGCATTAAAATGAATTGCAAGTCGACAGGCACACCAAAAGGCATGGTTTAATTCCAACTTTAGTCATAAATAGCAATCAATATTTATATTTTCATTTGACTCAAAGATAACAAATGCCTCTAGTAACATATATAGTTTTAATATAGTGCACATCTTAATAATCAAACAATACACATAGAAACATGTCAATTGGACGACTTTGAGGTGCTCCACTGGACGTGCGTTCCTAAAAAATAAAGAAATAAACTATTAGGCATTGCAAAAACTTGGTCAATAATAATATTTGCTTATTGCTGGATCAGTTATACAAAAAAAGTGATAAATCAATCATAGACATCAGATGTCCCTATCAAAAGTATCATCATTATAATTGGATATGAATTATGTGTCGGAATATTACCATAGATCCCTTTTAGCATCTGGGAGTTGCTTCACTTTATTAGGAACCACATACAGTCCAGGCACAACACGGTATTAGTAGAACGACAAATAGGTGACGTATTCCTAAAAGTAATAAAATAATTTGTTTAGCTTTGCATAAACCAAGTAAATCATAATCATGCTTTGTTCTGTGTCAGTTTTATAAAAAGTGATAAATCAATCATAGACATCAGATGTCCCTATCAAAGTTATCATCATTATAATGGGGCTTAGACGTGTGTCGCAGTTTTATAATGTTCTTACATAGTTCAGGTCTATTTGGCATCTGGCAGTTGTTTCTTTTTATTCGAGTGCAGCATCCTTCAGGTATAAAATAAGCCGGTCCTACTTGACCAACAGCTAGGTACTCCATTTGGACGAGATCTCCTAAAGAAAAACACAGAACGTATTAGGAAAGGCAACAACTAAGTAAACTATAATATAAGCATTGTGCTGAATCAGTTTTATAAAAAGTGATAAATCAATCATAGACATCAGATGTCCCTATCAAAGTTATCATCATACTAATTGGATATGAATTATGTGTGGGATTAGTAGCATATTCTTACATTGCTTTCGGATTCATTTAGCATCTGGAACTTGCCTCACTTTATAAGGAGCAACACTTATTCCAGGCACAGCCCTGTTTAAGTCGATCGACAAGTTGCTGACGTATTCCTAAAAGAAATAAAATAATTTGTTTAACATTGCAAAAACCAAGTAAAACATAACATCTGCTTGACATGCATCAGTTCTATATAAAAAGTGATAAATCAATCATAGACATCAGATGTCCCTATCAAAGTTTTCATCATTAAAGCGGGGAAAAAGTCATACAAATGTACACTAAGGAGCGGAACTTACAAACTCGCCAGACACGCAGTGTTTTATTAAAATGGAAGACATCATCTGAAAAAAAACATGAAAGGGATAAGCAATATGTATAAGGTATGAATTTATGAATGCTTATTCTTTTTTTTTTACTTTTGCATCTATTAAAATGGCAGCAATTTATCTTTCATGCTAGTTCTAATATATTTGTACTTACAATTTCCACGTGTCCTGTTGCCTTGTAATTGCTACAGCCAATTATTTAAGGTTAAAAGTAGCCTTTTCACCCATTTTCAATTGATTCAAATTCAATTCCAAAAACAGTTTGATGAACATTTCTTTGCTGTTTCCAACCTCGTTATGCGCCTCATCCACGTGGTGTCGTTTTCACTTCTAAAATTGGCAAATTTTAGTGCGTTTTAAAATACTTATAAGTGGGGCGGGTGTCAGTATTATTTCGGTCATTTTTAGTTTTTAAAATAGGCATCAAATAAACAGCACTTTTGTTTTGTTGCTATTGACTAACATTTTATGTTTTATTATATAAATAGAAATTGCTAATTGGACACTGCAGTTGATATAACTTTTTTAAAAAAATCCGCAGCTAATGTTCTTAACTGGCCAACAATTTAAATTGCTTTCAGATACATATTTGTGAACATATTCGTGTATGCCCAACATTTAAACTGACTTCTCATCAGATTAACTGTGAATATCTAACAAAACATACATACATTATCTTATTACTATTTTCCGCACATTTTTATTTTTATCGCTGTTCTGCGTCGTGATTCTCAGCCTGCGACGCTGTCAGTTCGTGTTCCTGCTCCTGCTCCTGCTGCTGCTGTTGCAATTTCAAACGCTTCTTGGCTTTTATGTCGGCCAGCGTCTGCTCAATGGACCGCATGTCCTTTTTGTTCTTACTGGGCACAAAGCCATAGCTTTGATTCGTTTCTGTTTTGCGGGCTGCTTGCAGGGCCGCCGATTCGCCGATAAGGTGGGCATATTTTGTTTTATAATTGGAGGTTGGTTTCACTTCAGCGCTGGTGTCCGCGCTGCTGCTGTGGGCTGCGCTGGAGCTCGCTTCAGATGTGGATTGCTTGTCGATCAGACTTTGCTCCTGGGCTAGGCGCTCTTTCCGCCGCTCAGAGTATTCTTTGGCTATGTCCTTGCTCCAGCCTTCGCCGTTACGACGGGCTGTTACCTCGTCCTCGCTGGGTGGGTGTTCCTTCTTGTAGACTACCGAGTGCCGGTCCTCGTCCTCGCGGCCAAAGCTCATTGCTATGAAACCACCATTTTCCGCTATTTCGTGTATAACTGAGCGATGCACCTTGTCCAACGGCTGGAACTCAATGTATGTGCGATCATCCTTAGCAAATCGTCCCATCCTTTCCTCGACGTACTTTCGAAATCGCAACAGCTCTTCCTTTTGCTTGTTTTGCATCCGCTCCACCATTTCCCGCTGTTTTTTGATCAGCGTCTTTTGCTGTTCATTTGTGGTTGGCGGAGCATCCATTGAGTTAAGTATTGAGTCAAGCAGATCCATTTTGATGTTGCCGATATCCGTTGATTGCGCATTAACGCATATGCCAATTATTGCTTATTGTATTTAACACACAAGGCTTTCTATTATTAGTTGCTAATTTATTAAACTAATGACAACATTTGGATTATTTATATATTTCTTTTATGTATTGTATAAAATAAGATTACCGGTGCTTCTGCACCAGAATACTAGAATACCCATTTCTGAATACTGTATACCATTAGGTATTTTTGCCGGCCTGCAATCTAGAATACTGAACACGATTTAGTATTATTTGGAACCTGCAAGCAGGTTGGCAGCCCATTAAAACAGGCGGGTGGTGTTTCTTTTCTGTTTTCAAAAACAAAGCTAAGTACACATCAAAATAGCTACTACTGAAGGGATTCAGATGTCTGCAAAACGTCGTACACTTGTCCACTGGTTCCGCAAGGGACTTCGTGTTCACGACAACCCCGCGCTGTCACAGATATTTAATGAAGCTCGAGCGTCGCCGGAAAAGTTCTATATTCGACCTATATTTATATTAGATCCTGGTATCTTGGATTGGATGCAAGTGGGCGCCAATCGTTGGCGTTTTCTTCAACAATCCCTCGTCGACTTGGATAAAAAGCTCAAGGAACTTAATTCGCGCCTGTATATTGTTCGCGGCAAGCCCGTTGATGTTTTTCCTGAGCTGTTCGAACGTTGGAACGTCCAGCTACTGACATTTGAATCAGATATTGAACCGTACGCCCTGCAGCGTGATACGACGGTACAAAAGATAGCATCGGAGCATGGAGTGAAAGTGGATACCTACTGCTCGCACACGATTTATAATCCAGAACTGGTTATAGCCAAAAATCTTGGTAAAGCGCCTGTTACCTACCAGAAGTTCTTGGGTATTGTCGACAAGCTGAAGTTGCCCAAAGCGCTGGCTGTTCCAGAGAGCCTGCCGGATGGAATGAAGCCAATAGCAGATGAATTCGAAGAGATCGATTCATGCGTCTATGACTGTCCAACGTTAGATCAGTTAGTCAAGCGGCCCCAGGAACTCGGCGTCAACAAATTTCTGGGCGGTAAGGCAAAAATAACATAACTTCAATAGCAATGTTTAACAAGTCTTGACTGATAGGTGAAACAGAGGCACTGCGTCGCATGGAAGCATCACTTATCGACGAGAATTGGGTGGCAGCTTTTGAGAAGCCGAACACGGCACCAAACTCGCTTGAGCCAAGCACTACGGTGCTCAGTCCATATTTAAAATTCGGCTGCCTTAGCGCGCGGCTGCTGCACCATAGGCTTAAAGAGATTCTGGTGCGGAAGCCAAAGCATTCCAAGCCGCCCGTTTCGCTAGTCGGTCAGCTGCTGTGGCGCGAATTTTATTATACGGTAGCCGCAGCTGATCCAAATTTCGACCGTATGCTGGGCAATGCTTACTGCCTGCAAATACCCTGGCAAAAGCAACCTGACCATCTGGAGGCCTGGACGCACGGACGAACTGGGTATCCCTTTATCGATGCCATCATGCGCCAGCTCCGGCAAGAGGGGTGGATACATCACTTGGCGCGTCATGCGGTTGCTTGTTTTTTGACGCGCGGCGATTTGTGGATCAGCTGGGAGGATGGGCAGCGGGTCTTTGAGCAGCTGCTTCTTGACCAGGACTGGGCACTAAATGCAGGAAACTGGATGTGGCTCTCAGCTTCCGCATTCTTTCATCAATATTTTCGTGTTTACAGTCCTGTAGCGTTTGGAAAGAAAACTGATCCCACTGGCGCCTACATAAGGAAATACGTCCCTGAATTGGCTAAATATCCAGCGGGATGTATCTACGAGCCATGGAAAGCAACACTTAGCGCTCAGCGTGAGTACGGATGTGTGCTTGGCGTTGATTATCCACATCGAATTGTCAATCACGATATCGTCCACAAGGAAAACATAAAACGCATGAGCGCCGCCTACAAGGTGAATCGTGAAGTGCGCACCGGCAAACAGGAGGATCAAAATGATTACGAGCCATCGACGTCGCAATCCACTGGAAAGCGCAAAGCAAGTGCGGAAGCAAAAAAAACGGTTGCTAAGCGCAGACGTTGACTATCCACGATATGATAACGATCACCAGATAGCAAAGTCTACATATCCTTAATCCTTGTTATATATCAGATGTTAGGTGCATTTCAAATACGTCTACTCTAAAGCCAGATATGCGATCTATGCTATAAGATATTCCAATGTTGATAAGGCTTTGCAGACATACAAGGTTTTATAATGGTTAGCTATATGATATAGTGGGTCGATCCGTTATACATACTGACAGACTAGTTTGAAAAGAAATAGTTAGTTCTTCAGGTGGCTCTGATCAAAAATGTGTCTAGTTTATGAGTTTGCAGATGTCTCATTTCGAAACAAAGAATACCCTCTTCAAGAGGTTAACAGCGCTAATTGTAAACCAGATCGCAATAGTTGAATAATCAATAGTATCGAGTTATCTTTATTGTAATCTATTCGTAGATTTCAAAACCTTTCACAAGCTTTTCTTTACCACAGCTATACTTTAATCGAACGGAGTGTACTATTTTATTTAGTGTACTAATGTATATTCCAGCTATATTCTTGAAAGGAGATTTAGTCCATGGCATTGTTATATATATTTTTTCATTAAATGTAACCTTTACATTGTTCATTGATATACATTTTAAATAGTTGTAGTCTTTCCATAACTGTCTCATGTTTTTACGCTCAAAGTAGCCGATGAAATTTCAAGCACTTTCTCTTGTTGGATACTTGCTCTAAAGCACATTCTCACATCAGTCATTACTTTCGGCATAACATGAGCTCGGGCTCCTATTTCGAAGTAAAATTGTAATCCTATAATTTCTTGTTATTCAGTGGAAGAGACTTGGTAAAAGAATATTTATTAAAAATGTTCCGGAATCTATGCATGTTGCGCAAAAATATCCTCCTGTCAAGGATTATTTATTCAAGTTACACATTAAGGGCCAATGTCATCAGCTCGAATCTTCAATCCAAGACAATGACAACTGAGTCCCGGGGTAATGGCATTTCGGTTACCGACATTGATGTATGCGATCTGGCCAAAGGTGACGTGGAGTTTACTCGCAATTTTCTCACAACCTTTTCGACCATATCGCCTGTGAAAATTGCGTTCAGCCCGGAACCGGCGGTTGAGTCAGATGCCATCGCTGAACCACCAAGTTCTGATTCCGGTGGCTGTGGCATTGGGGGTTCTAGCACTAGCATCCTAGATAAGGATGGGATGCCGATTGTGCCCATAGAGATCGATGGTTGGAATCACCCCGACGATGAGGACGAAGTGGGTCCAACCGTGCAGAATAATTCACAGCATATTGAAATTGGAAATGACAATGAATACAAAGCTGAGAACTTGCTTGTGGTGCCCGAGAAGCGAGAGGGGCACTTCGAGTACAAGGGCATTAAAGTAAAGCTACCAGAGTCGGCTCACAAGGATATTGGCACCTATCGTTTCCGTCGGGACCAGGAGGACTTGGAAACGGTTGCTGACGATATGCGCGTGGTCAAGTTTGACAAGAAATAATACTGTCTACCCTTTCCCATACGGTCTGTGTAATTTGCGAGTTTCATTATAGTTGATCATGTTATAGCATAATAAAATTTACTTTGGGATATTAAATCGGAGCTGAGTACAGGATATTTCCTTGTCAGACATTCTCGACTCGATCCCTGTTGCTTAATTTAAATTCCATCTTTCTTTTTATCTATTTAAGCCTGCTGGATTTTAATTACAATGTTTACCCTACCTCCAACTTTTTATAGTCTGGTCTTGCGATAATTCTAAAGGGTTTGGGCTAGGAATTAAATAAATAAATGGTGCTAATATATGTACATATGTACACTTCGTGAGAATTCACATCGAAAATGTTGTGATTATTACTTTCTCTTAAAAATATATTAAATAATTTATTTGTTGATACTTCAAACTTCAATTTTCAAGTTTCTAGTTCATGTAATTCCCGGGCTCGCCGCGTTCACGTTGTTTTCATCAAGAAAATATGGTATTCATATTTTATAAAATACATTTTCGGATAGATGTTTCCTGCTGCTTTACACGTACATTGATACAAACTTTCAAAAGGCATAACGCAGCCTGGAAAGGAATTAGCCCCATTTAAGCACAGATAGACTTTGGGAAACGTTTTTCGACCTCTCTGCTCTTGTCAATCAATAAAACAATTAAATATCCTTTGACTCTTCCGCTGGCAATTTCAATCAACAAGCCAAAACATGCTGCCCTTCAACATTTTCGCAGGAATAAACATCCTTTCGACCCTCTCAAGACTACTTAGCTGAATTGATGACAACGCATTAGGCCAGGCGGCAAATTAAGCTGTTATAATGCGTATGAAATGGTATTCGAATCAACAAAAAGAATATGATTCCCTATTAAGCCCAGCATCGAGCCGGGGGATCGGGAGCCGTGTTTCAATCGGCCGTAAGAATGTGCACGCGTACCTTGGCAGACTGCCGGACGGAAAACCATAAATTGTTGTAATGCGAGGGATGGCAATTCGGCAATTTTATAGCTAAATTTTGGCCATGGAAACATTTGAAATTGGCAGTTGCCAAGCTGATATAAAGATACTTTGGGAACTATCCGGTAGACAAAAAAGCAGGACTAGTTGATTGTGTAGAGCTGATTTAATCTGTCAAATTATTAAATAAAGTTATGATTAAAATTGTTAGACTCAAAAGTTCACTTGGCAACAAAAAATCACAAGGCGAACTTTGTATGCATTTTCCAAGCAAACACCTTGGCTTTAAAACTAAGATGCCTCCCTTTGCCTTTTGTGCTTAGTAAGCTAATTTAGCTATTTTCAGCTATATTTGACATTAGATTCAGCTACCTTTTATTAAGGCCACAGTCAACAGCACGGCACACTAAAGAAACGACACGTACAGCTCGCATCCTTCAGCTATTTTGGCCTTCACTCCAGGGGAGAGAGAGAGAGACAAAGTGATGGAGAGCGAGAGAGATAGAGAGACGGAGAAATTATGTTGCAAATAAATACATGTATTAAATATTCGTTCGTGCCCAAAAATAAGTAAATGCATGCACTTTTCTGCCATAATTGGCAATTTGCGTTCGTTTCCGACTAGTATCTGTTGCTTACCTCTGTATCTTACCACTAATAAGACTCTTTTGTGGCAGCTGAGATTCATGGCTTGGTAATTACGACGACAGGCTTATTGGCAGACGCAAGTGTCATACATAAGTATTTTCGAGGGCAGCTACTATGGAAGTACATATGTATATAATGTGGACTAGACTGGGAGACTAGCTGAACCCAGCGACAAGGTGTTGTTAATCTATCTGTAGTACAAAAAGTCTTTTACCTATTTGTCAATGCGGCCATGCCTCCTGTTTCCTCTAGTACATTAGACTATGGAATATGCAAGACTGAATGGCTAATAAATAAATCCAAGTGCACCTTTGACCCCATTAACAATGGCTGAGAACCAACGAGAAACCCTTGACTGTTAGCATACTTTGAAATGGATTGTGGTCGATTTCATAATTGACAAGATTGGGCCTAGTACACCCTAGTGGGACATCTACATACATTGTATAAAATGAACACCTGAAACTCTTTGGAAAAACGCGCTTGCCATTCAGCTCATTAGTTAACTAAGCTCATAATGGATATAAGGTGCTCAAGATTTCCGCTAACAAATATTTTGTTTTGTCCGCATTCGCCGCCGGGTCGTCGCCGTTTCCGTTTCCGGCAGCTGCACGGAGACAGTTGGAAAGCTGAGCAGATGGTGCAGCATTTATTCTTTAAAACAGTTTACCTGGCTAACTGCAACACATTCATAAATGCACACTCCTTTACCTAACCAGTTCCCCTTGCCTTCCTGCCACGAAACTGGTGGTATGCGCGTGAGGACAGGTAAATTTGCATGCAGGGCTTTTGTTTTTGGCGGCTGGAAACCAGCTCAGTGGGTAAATGGGAACAACATTCGCCGTTTTTATAAGTGCAAATGCAAATTGTTAGGCGCGTTGGCGAACACAACAAATGTGGCCGCAAAGTAATCAGAAAACAAATAAGAGCGCTTGAGTCGGGCGTGCCCGACTGGGATATACCCTAAATACAGGGTACAAGCATTCACTCACAAAGCCTACACAATAAAATTGGTTCAAATACGTCTCAAAATGAATATTAGACGATATAGTTAATATGGAATGAGTTACCACAAAAAGAATTTGTATTTCAAATTTCAAGTCTCAAGGTTTTACCAGATTAATCTTCCCATTTTCATTCAGATGATGCACTTAATTTAGCTTAAATTGTTAGTGCAAGAACTTCCAAGAAATATCTGTATTCTCTCTTCTCTTCCTCTCCTATCTCCTATATTATCGATCCTCATTAAAGTTAAGATGGGTTTCGAATATAATTCCAGTGCTGTACACTGGTTAGTATAATAAAAGCAGCGTAACACAACACTGCTTGTCAAAGCTATTTGAATCTCTTATGTCAAATAACATGACTAAGCATGTTTTAGTCTCAATATGGCTGCGCTGGAATTAGGTAACAAATCAAAAAAAAAGGATGACAAACTGTGAGTAAAGCTGCTTTAATTAATTATTTAAACTTTGGGCCATATTGATTGCCCTTTATAGCAACAAGTTTATCTGCCCCATCACGTATACGAGTCAGCTGCCCGATCCGACTGTGGGCTGCAAATTTCTACCGTGTGGCAAAACTTTGCTAGACTTTACCACAGAGCCAGTATCCTTTCCGCAGCTGGAAACCCAGTTTAGCTATCAGTTTAAGGGGCTGCAGCTGCTCTTCGATATCGATCTGGTCAATCCAAGTGTTTACGCGCACAGCAGCGCGGAGGCAATGGAAATGGACCCCAAGGATGCCGCCTTACTCGCGGATATTGAGGCGCTGCACATTAACAATCAAAAGCCAAAGGCGCTGCATAGCTTTCCGACCCGCGCCCAGGAGTGCCGTGAGCTATTTGCCAAGGAGCGAACCGCTGTGCCTCGGCCACGGGCGGGCCTTCAACGGCTGCAGCCGGAGCCGGAGCATCTGGAGCTGGAGTCCTTCAGTCTGGAGCAGCAGAAGCAGATCGTTCAACAAACATTTGTTGATATTGAGAAGCCGCTGGGATGCCATCCCACAAAGTCGGCAAGTACCGCACGACCCGTCGCCCAGCTGCCCATTTTTCCTGAAGCCAACTACGCCCAATATGAGCACGAACTCGTCCAGGTCCAGTTTGGTATTCCGCCCAGCGGCAATAGCAACGGGCTGCTCAAAGACTGCGGCAACTATCTGATCAACTTTAAGGTAAAGCCCGAGCCGCTCTTCAAGCAGATTCAGCATACCTCTGGCCAAAGCCTGGTGACCTACCTCGCCGAGGAGCGCTACAAGGAGGAGCGCACGGCGGACAGTGCCGACCGCGGGGAACGCTTTATGCTGCGGGAGAAAGATGGCAGCATCTACTACCAAGCTGTCAGTAAGCACATCAAGTTGCGCAAGGAGCGGCCAAGTCCGCAGGCCACGGCCAACGTCTGTCTGCTGGTAATCCAAAGGAATGTTTATTCCCAAATTCGTATAAATATGTCTACTTTCCAGCAGATCAAGCGCACCAAGGATAATCCTCAACAACCTAGCTCCGGAACCAAGAAGTAGTCGTTTTTAGCTTCACAAAGTGGAATCTTAAGAGTTTTACTGAGTAATGTATATAACTGACATTATAATTTTGGAATTATAATCTAGGTTTCGAATATTATTGTCTGTTAATATTACGATTTTTTGCTTCCTACGGGAGCTAGTGAGGTCCGATGTTGTAAAACTAATAATGAATCTAGATATCGATCCTATAGCAGCTATACGATTTGATGCTTCTATCCGCCCGGTTTTTACTGCCTTTAACAAAATACTGACCCATTCAAGTGTACTTTTTGGTGTCGGAGATGTTTTTATGGCAAAATTAAAATGTTCATTACACGATTATAAAGACCATTGAGAACAAATCCAAAAATTCACTTGAAATAGATATTTATTATGCTTAATATATCCATTTTCAATTTTTGGGATTTTTAGACTGCTTTCCGTTAGTCTGCTTCGGTATAAAAACAAAGGATAAAACTGCACAGTAAATTAAAAAATTGAAAGTCGCAAGTTTCAACAAAACTCGATAACATTTAATTTAATAAATCTTTAAAATAATTTAACCTGCCGCAATTTAAGTACCAAGTTGTACCAAGGGCAATATTAATACCTTTTACATATATTATTGTCCTTTTTCCCCTTTATGAGTAACAGTCAGAAAAAATGGGCAAGTAACAGAGGGAATACCAAAAAAACATTTTTAGTACAACCGACATTAACAGCCATGCATAGCAGCCAAATTCCTTAGCAGCACTTGTAAGGTTGTAATCCTAGCTAAACCATACTGGTAATAACAGCTGCTATGAACAACATTAGCAACAACAATGGATTTACATAGTGTTATTGCTTTAATAGCAGCGTTGACCGCATAAACTCCAACCGAGATAACTGTTGAAATAACATGGATAAATGTAACAGCTACTTCGCAAATATTAGCAGAAATACCAAGAAGGACAAGAACAAAGCTCAATAACAGTTTCTGCTAAAAAACAGTCACTGCAGACATATATGCTAAAAATGTACCAAAACATGGTACATATGTAACAATATTTTGTTTTTCATACAATTTTCTTTAACGGACTCTTTTCTTCATCTTACCTTATTTAAGCGGTCAACCTTAATAGTTGTAAATTTGTTCCTACTGTTTTTCGATCTTCAAAAAAAGAGTTCCAGCGACAAGTAAAAAGTGCTTTAGTCGGTACTGCGCGACTGGAAGATATCCTGAACCTTCTGCTATGTGGACCTTATAGCTTATTATTATTTATTTATTTACAATGAAATTCTTTTCAGTATATCTTGTGCGAAAGAATATTTGTATATTTGCAGCCTTACAACCTAACAGCTTCAGCATTACTCAACTCTGCAATAAACTGTTAAGTAACATAGGGACAAACTAACAGTCGTGCAAAAATTAACAGAATTTCCCTAGCATGTACAATTTGTGCGTTCACAGTTTCAACCCCTGATGTGCATCTCCTGCGCTTAAAAAATAGCCATATTCCATTTGTCGGAGTTGCGGCGAATTCAGAACGTTCTGCAAAAGCTCACTTTGCTTGTTGCCGGCATCGGCAGCCGCTTGGCATAGAAATGTCCAGTTGCCGTTTCAATTGGCGGTGGGTGCCATCGCAGGCAAGTGTACACAAGTACTACATAGTACCCAAATGGAATGCCGGCGTTTCGGAAGTGCTCCACGTGTCCAACGGCTTATAGTGTGACAAGTCTGTGGCGTCGCGAGTGTCTGAAAACTCAAGTATTTGTCGCTGGCTTTGAAAATAAAACAATAGAAAGAAGAGCCACAAATTGCAATCCGACCTGTAGCAAAGTGTTAATTCCCAACGAGCATCATTTAAGGACGTTTCTGAACTCATACTCCAGGCACAGCCACAGTGCCACCTTAAATCAAGGCTTCAAGCCGGTTTTGAACCGGCTTGCAAATTGAACCGAACCAGTTGTTTAAGAAACAGCTCAACTTGAGCCCAGGTTTAGAGATTTCAAATTTTGCATGTTGATCCTTCTAGTGGCTGAGCAGTACCAGTTTGTTTTAAATGATCAATAACTTTTCTCGTTTCCAAGAAATCGATAAAAATCGATATCGAAATCAAATTTCAAGAGCTAGAGTCAGCAGCTTTTAAACGTAGCTTCTCGTATACATTATACAGATGAAATGTTTTTCACAATTTCCTAGTTTTTCAATTCCGACTTTTGTAGTCTACTTCATTGTCTACTTACCTGACCTATCCTAACTTAAAATGTATTATAAATATATAAAGATGAAGAGATTAAGGAAAATTTGTTGTCAATTAAGATCAGCTTTCGAATAAGCCCCGACCTGTGCTATATTCTGAACCTGGCGATGTTAAATCATTACGAATTGGGAACAATTTACGGGCCAATGGGTTCAAATCGAATCATTGGTTTGTGGATATAGAAAACTTGGACCGGGAATCGAGCTAGGGGAAATATTATGGCCTTTCCAGATCGATTCAGCTAGTTGTACTGATCAAGAATTGATCTAAGTTTCATTTGGCTGTGGCAAATATTTTAATAGGTTTAAAATTGTATGCATGATATTTGTTTCGGATCTGTCGCAATTCGATAATAATATATTTCGAATATACACGTGCTGATGCACACATAACACTTGGTTTAATTGTTAAGTATGTGGAACATGAATCGAATTGCATATTGCGTTCAAAAGAGCTGGGAATGGAATTCTCGATGCTGTACGTGAAAGACGCTTCCAAGATGCGCATTCGACTAGTTCTTGTACTCGCGCACATTCAGTTCATTTTAATAGGCATATATGCCCATCCATATAGATTGACCCTCTACAGGACCAAGACCCCCTCCTACGTGATGCGCGGATCAATGGACACGCCAGTCAAGCCAGTGGACTATTGTCAAAAAGGACTCTGCCCGAAAGGAGAACGTCACATTTGCTGTAAAAACGAGTTTGTAAGTTGTCCGCCGTCGAACCCGAGCCGCATATTCAAATTGCAATTGTTTCATGCAAGTGGGGCGACAACTGTCCCAAACCGCGCGAGGGCGTCAACATGGAAAGGTACCGGACTACCATTCTGGACCATCATAATAATCTACGGAATCGTATGCACATGAAAATGAATCATTTGCCATCAGCGATAAAACTTCGCCATCTTCGGTGGGACGAAGAACTCTCCGTAGTGGCCATGCGGGTTACAAATTATTGCAACAATATTACGGGCAGTAATTGTGTGAATATTCCACGTTTCTTGAACGTGGCTCAAAGCTCCTACACCAATCGGTACGTGAATAGAAACATACCAAATTTGCTGTCTATGATATTAGTTAACTTTTGGTCAGATAGATATTATACATTTAACGCTTCTTATGTACACTCATTCCCGGAAAATGCCTCGAAAGAAGATCAGATATTTGCCAATATGATAAATCAGAGGGTTGATAAATTGGGTTGCGGCATGTTACTTCATGCCGACGTTGGCAATAACATATTTCATTTCACCTGTTTGTATAATGAAAAAATCAAGCCTGGACAACAATTGTATGAAATAAAGCCATAACAATCTATTTCAAAAGTATCTATTTAAATGATACTCAACCGATTAGGCTGCCATATTTAGTTGCAAAAGAGAAAAGTGATAAAGCTTTAACGGAGCCGGGAAATTCCAGTACATTCGGCTAATCATAAATCAAGAAAATCTAGAAAAAGGACAAGCACGAGGTTTGTATGAAAGATCCATTGGGAAATTTGACAGGGAATGCACATTTGGGAACTGCCAACGATTCCTAATTCACCTAATTCGACGCAACCTCAGACCCCAGACATAAAAAAAAAACAAAGCTGAATATGTTAACTAACAGGTGTACCGAAGCTGTTGAGAGACGGATAACCTCCGATTTTTTATTTAAGAGGAGCTTTCGCTTAAGAGGAGGGTCTCGAAGATGCCGATAGTTCCATTGAAAAAAATATATTTTAGAGGAGTATCAGAGGAATTGATGGGATCAATAATAAATGAACTCTGCGCGAACGTTGTCGACCAGTCCTCCGATGAATATCTGCCAGGATAAAAGGATAAAGTAGCTCATTGCATACGCTAGGAATCCCAGAAGGAAAACCCCAAGTTTATTAGTGGGTTTTCGTTCCCGTGTTGATATCAAGGGATTCGGTTATGTTTTATCCATTTTCGATTGACGCAACAGCGGCTTGTAAAAAGGTTTAATGAACATATTTTTTTCATATTCTATGATAACATTTCCAATGAATATATTTCGGTTCCGCATCTCCGATTCTCTTCACGAAGAAATGACCTAATGACATTTAAATATGATATCTATTACACTATCTATATTACATTTTATACATATTACGAATTCTTGATCAGTGTAGCTTTATGTAAAAATCGATAACATAGAATGGGGAAATTAAAGAATTGATAAAAGTCTATTTTTAGCATATAATTTCTGCCCAACAACAGCAGCAACAGCAGTCGGCGCCGACGTAGCTGTTATATGCAGCACAGGCACATGCGGTCGACGCTGGCAGCGCAGAATGCAGAGAAATAGCAAAAGCAGCGTAAGTGCGGCGCCGACGCGCCGTCAACGTCGCCAGCAGCAATAATGACGCTGGTTTTTAGCATAATGCAAAAACAGCAAGCAGTGCACTGGCCATTTTATAACGGTAAGTGCGCGCTCTATACTCTGTTCTCTCTACCTCTCTCTCTCTCTCTCTTACTCGAAAAGTGTTTGGCTTTTAGTGCACGGCTAATTTCCTTCCTTTTTATTGGCGTACAAAAATGTATTGCATACTTTTAGAAAAATTGTATTTATGTTTACATAGAAAACAGAATGGTAGCGGGCGACGGCGTGAAGAAGGCTTCTCTGACCCGTTCAGATATATATATATATATATAGTTTGAACATTCCGCACGGTCTTTTGTCTGACCTCAAATAACTCTCTGTTTCAAAGCAATCAATATCAAACTTTGTATAGGTCCGTATTATTATGTTAGACTCGGCCGAGTTGAAATTTTATGGATATAGATGATAATTATTTTATTATTATAAATCATAATGATGGTGATTATGTGATTATACGAATACTCTATGGCACAATAAGATCTAATGCACAAAATGTAATTACAAGTTATTAAAGAAAATATTAGAAAACGTTTTTGTACGCTTAGGGTATCTCTAAGTCGGGCACGCTCGACTAGAGCACTCTTGCTTATATATGTGTCTTGGCGAAATCGTGCAGTTATTTATTGTATTCAATTGCATATAAACCAGACTCTTTTTTGTTTTTTTTTACATAAATTTCCAAATTGTGAGTAGTTGTTTTAGATAGACTCTTGAATTGTTTCATGAAGTCGGGTACTTAATTTCATCCGAGAAATGGGCCAAGAGCTGCCGGGTCATGTTCAAGTATGTTGCAAGGGCTGCAGTTGACACCAACTTATAAACTGATTTTCCCTTCGACTTGACATTATTCGAACGTTGCTGGAAGGCACCTCCTTATCCAACTTAACCACCTCGTTCTCCATAACGCTTTAATTTGAGGTTGAGAGGTTGCCTCTTGTAATAAGGTAAGGCAAATTTAAGCGCAGTCATTCGACAAACATCGACAAGGACTTAGTCGAGCTGAGTTACTCATAAATCCTGCCTGCCTTTCTGGCAGTAGGCAAAGCTATTTTAGCTCAACTCGCAGTTGGCCAGAACTTTATTTGGTTATTTTAAGTTAATAGCCGGCTCGAACTCTAGTTTTTGAATTTAAACAAACTAGTTGTTCTTTCGAGCCAACATAATTGGAGAGCTCTCCAGCATACTTTTTCAGGGCTTAAATTCTTTTGTAACTTTAACTAAACTTGTTCTAGTTTGGGTGTGGAAAGTCCTCCTTTGGATTAAGCGTGTGTGAAACTGAACCATTTCATTGGCGACTGATGATAGCACTGTGTGGCCTTTGCTCCTGGCTGTTGACGTGCCACATGCCTCTCATAGAGGCTTCTGCTTATTCCTGGTTGGCTTTATGGCTTGAACATTTTCCATAATAAGACGAGTGCTTATTTTAGCTTCTGCAGCTGCTTCTGCTTACCCATTTTGGATTATGCCAACACTTTTATGGCATGTCCTATGAAGATTCTCAAGCATACCTTTCTCTGGAAACTGTGCCCCGCCCCAACCCACCTGAACGGCAGAAGAAGTGTAGCTGTGCGTCTGTCAGCCAGTCTTCAATCTCTTTTGTGCCTCGCATTTCAGCTTTTCTGGCACACGAGCCACAAACTGCTAATTTGGTTTGATGTATTGCCCCAGAGACATCCATCAGCAGTTGAAGCCAAAACTGACGCTGACGCTGACGCAGACGTTCTCTCTCGGAGCTACACATTCAACAATGTTTTGGAGGGCCAAAACGTGTCTCGACTGTCTGGGACAACAATTGTTTATGGAATATTTTGAGTAGATATTTTCCGGCTTCCTACTCTTTGAGCTTGCATTCGGAGAATGTTTGCTACTTGCTGGTATTTATATTTTCCAGACGAAAGGAGGATTTATGCTGATCTAATCTAAAAGCTATATATACTAATTTTGGCAGATAGGCTATCATATAATATTATATTATAATCGACATTCAGATTTACAAAATCTGAGATGCTTTAGACCTATGCCCTGAAGTTGTCAAAAGCAGAAGAAGGTACTTCAAAAAGTATATTCCATATGTATATCAAAGGAAGCAGGCAGCTCGACGTTGCGCTTAGGGTATCTCTAATGTCGGCACTCCCGACTATTTTTATTTGCAACAAATCCGAGTTTTAAGCTTATTTGAAAAGTGCTTGAAGCCGCACTGTCAAATTACGACATGCTGCTGAATAGAAGATGAGTCGGATAAAGACCCTTTCCCTTTTTCTAGTCTCTTTGCAGCGGAATGTAGGAGGACAACAACCACAGTGTTCCTCCAGTCTTCTGCTTTGAAGATGTGTCGCCATTGTCGTCGTCTGTGGCCGCGATGTCACCGCGAACGGAAGCCATGAATCACACTTGCAGCTTAGCATTCCTGCGCTGCGGATGCCTTTGTGGTGGTGGTCTCCGCTGGCAACGGACACGGACCTGGCGCAGTTCTTGCCAATTTTTGACTGAATTTTTGGAATATCACAGAGCAGCGCAGAACAACGGGCATGGACGTGGAATAATTAACTGACGAGTGGATTGTGAATTACCTAGGATTACTTTACTCAAACAGATTAACGCTACTTCGCTTTTTTAACAACAAAAAATATGCCGGACTAGAGTATACTACGTGAACAGGTTTATTATGAACTTTCGCTCATGCATCTTTTGGATTTTCTGAAAAGTGTACAACACTTTTCCAAATGAACTTGAGGACAGATCTAAGCTTGAGTCCGATTGGGAGGTAGATCCAACAGGTACACACAAGTTCTTCCTCAGCTTCATCTTACCCCTAATTAATAAAATAAATAAAACATTTCAATTTTGTAGCTATTGTGGTTCACCAATCAGGAGAAAAGGTCATGTACGCAGAGTTCATAGAAACCAGAGACACAATTTAGTATGTAGGTCAGTTTTAAATGCATTGACCGAAGGGTGGGAATGGGGGGAATAGAAAAGTGTCCCCTTTGGTTGCATAGAAGGAAATTTGATTATTTGTCACGGCAACTGGTTAAAAGGTATCCACTCGACGACGCAGAAGTGTTCCAGCCTGTTCCTTATTGTAGCTCGTCACAAATGCTTTTTCGATTACACTTTCGTTGCCGCAGTATGCATTTTAATTAGCGTTAATAAAAATGCAGCAGCTGCTGTCGACTGGCAACAGCCACTGTCTCCTGTGCGCCGGGCACTGACGACCTCCTTAATGGCATTATCAGCTCTGCTCAGCTTCATCTGCTCCTGTGGTGCATTTAATTAATGTCATTATGCAAATTTAAGCGACCGAACAGCAATTTCTTTTTCTCCCAAAATTGTATATAATACTTTGTTTAAACTCGGCCTGGGCCGTTGTTGTATCCATTAATATAAGTTTGCCAGTTGCGGAAGAATCCCAAATAACCCAATTCTATATAAATAACCAGCAGTACGAGTGTTTTAGTGTGCCCGACTAAGAGATACCTTTTTCTCATTGTTTCAGGATTTAAATAAGAAAATAACTTAATTTCAGTTTGATTGCGTATTTATGTTCAGCAAGAAAGGGATACGCTTTGACTATTTTAAGTAAGCCAAAAATGCTAGGGTATAAGATAGTCTGCCTTCTGCGCCAAGTTATTTTTTGCAAATGTAGTTCGTGCGAGCAGACAGAAAAAATCAATACACTCTATTTGACATTGCGAACAGGGTATAGCCATGACAATAACTCGAAAGACTAGAAAATGAATGAATAGAAATGAATACATGACTCGCAATCCGCGTCCGTACATCAATCATACGCCCCTCCGGCTTACAGGAACGTATTCAGCAGTGTGATATATGAGCCGGTTGTGCTAAGTATCTGCAAGCGAGATAATACAGAGTGAAACAACTTTACACTTTTCCAGATAATCGGGCCTTACCGAGCTGAAGGCCGGCAGCGAAGGCGTAAAAAACGGCACAGCAATTGTTTTTGCCCACTGCGAGCGTCGCAATATCATTAAAATCATTTTCCTGGTCCTCGCATCGCATTTGTACCACGCAACGTCGTAGAGCGTGTCGGCCACAGCCAGGCTCTATGGGAAATAGACAGGTTAATGGGGCAGAGGGACAAGCAGGGGAGCGGAGGGGCAGTTGCTGCATCTTTCTCGTGTAATTACAATTTAGCTCAAGTGCAGCTTGTCTGTGGATATAATTTTCTTGCCTATGAACAGGCGGTTGGGCCTAAATATCCTTGGCAACATGTGCCATATTTTTGATATACTTACCTGAGGCTTATTCGACTCTGCTTTTACCGATCGTTCTAATGACAAGATAATCCCCTCCAGCAGACCTCATAAGTGCAGGCAGGCAGACCAGCGGACGGACGGACAAAATGATTGCGACTCAGCTGGTCGTCATAATTATCGCACCCTCTAGTTATAATATGCAAATTACTAACACTTTCGCTGACGTGATTGCCGCCGTAGCAATAGAGGAAGAGCTGCGTCAGGGCGGCAATGGTGTAGCAGATGTAGGTTAAGCCGCTGAACGAGGAGGTGTTCTGTCAACGGGCCAGTCCGGCGAGTCCGACGGGTCCGGCGGGTTGGTCGAGTTGTTCGTGAAAGGAAAATGTGAAAGAGCTGTCAATAATGGCACAATAAGGATAGTCGGGAGTGCCCGACTGGATGATGCACTTAGGGGTTAAATAAGACAGCAACGATTCAAGGCTTAAAACAGAGTCAAAAGTTTCTTCATTTTGTGGCGGAAAGGGTATATAGGTTCATTAAATAAAATATTCTAGCTCTGAATAGAATATATATTTCGCATGCTAGCTTCTGTTGTTGTGTCCGAGATCGACGCATTTTCAATGAAGGAGAGAAGGACCTGGCTAAATACATTTGCACAATACAATAATACTAGTTTTATACATTTCCAATAGGTTTCGGCTAATCAAATTAGTTTGTAAATATCGTTTATCCTATCAAAAAATCCCAGCTGGGCTACAGACTGAAGTCGCTTTCACATTCAAGAATTTAAATTGGAAATTCCAAATAGAAACAGTAAGTCGACCTAATGGGAAACTTTTAATGGACACTGTGGACTTACCAGCATAATGTCCAAAATGGTCGAGCAGAGAACGAAGGCTGCGGACAGGAAATGCATCAACACGATGACGGTGAATTGGCGCGTCAGGTCCGTGCTGAGATCGATAATCGTATTATGGCGATCGATAATACTGACCAGCCGGGTCCGGATCGCAGCATTTGTTGCAGGCGTAAAAAACTCCTCTGCACGGATTTGTGTGAGAGGGCAAGCATTATAAAAAGGCATTGGCATCGAATACACCAGCCGCCTACCTTTATCCAGATCAACGAAAATGGAGCGTATATCCTGCTGTATGATCCAAAACACGCCGCTTATATACATGCAGCTGCACACGAAGAAACCGTCAATAAAGCTGAAGGCGAAGACCGTGCAGGCACCAGAAGCCGTCAGCAGCAAATAGCTGAGTGGAAAGAGCGGACTCTGCGTGGCCCAGTCGGGTAGTCTGTGAATGGAAACTAAACTAATTAATGGGGGATTATTAAAAGAAATTTAAAAAAATATAAAGAATTTACTTAAAATAATATACGAAGCTAATCAAAATATATGAATATATGTTTCGAAAATGTTTGGGTTAAAACATATATTATTAAAGGAATTAATCTATTTGAAAACAAGATTTGTATCAATTTAATTAGCTTGTGTAAAGTTAAATTTGATTTTTAATTAATTAATTTGTAAGCCGTGAACCTATTGAATGTGCGTATATATTTTTGGAATGTATATATATTTTTGCTCAGCATCAACAGCCGAGTCCATCTGGCTATATCAGTCTCTCTGTCCGCATCGATCTGGGCAATTAGAGCTTGAGACGTGAAATGTCTTCTCTCGCGAAGATTAGGAATCAGGCAGATTAGATTTCAACTCACATTATATTGAAGGGCAGCTCCACCTGACCTGGCAACTCCCGAAGCCAGCGGTACAGGCCCATGATCAACGGCTGGACATTGAAGGCGGTGTTGGTTATGGAGCCCGAGCTAACCAAGAGTAGACTGAGGCGATTCGCGATTGTGGATAGGCCAACCAGCATTCGTTGGGCCTCGTCGCTTCTGGTGGCGCACAGTAGGCCACGTAGGCGCTCCACGAATCCGAACCACTGGCGATGGTACATAAAGAATATGCTCAGCTTGAGGACACACACGGCCTTTGTGCTGCCGGGACAGAAGGCCTCCAGAGCGCTAACTAGGTTGTTAAGATTAGCAAAGCCGTAAAGATTCTCGCCACATGCACCAATCAAGATGACCAGGAAACTAAACGCGTAGAGCAGATTCTTATCCCAACTACGCTTGTCTTCTGGCCAAATACCCAGGATTAGTCCAGAGAAGCGAGGAACCCGATAAAAGCTCTGCACAATAGCCGGTTCGGGGCCGTCAATCATTTTTTCAAGTATATATTTATATATATATATATATATCTATCTATCTAGTGAATATCGATCACGCTCAGTCGAGACACAGTCCAAAAATGTCAGCTTGCTTTTAGCTTTTATACGCTTCGAGCTAATTGTCTGGCGTCTGCTGTCAATGTCTTTGATTGGGCATTGGGTATGGCAGGACATGTTTTGCTTGGACTTTGGGCAAAAGTTTTAATTGTTTTTCGTTTGCTCTCTTCGCTTCTCTAGCTCCCTTCATGACCTGAAACACGCCCCTTTTTTACTGGGGACTGCCTACCAGCTCGCATTTTATAACATCTGCCTCCTTGACCAATATATAATTATTAATTGTGTCTGTTGCTGTGATTTAAAAACTTTTCTGTTGTCCAACAAGGCACAAACACGATACATTTAATAAACGTTTCAATCGCAAAGTTTTTCATTCATATTGTAATCGGTTTTTAATTGTGATACCACACGGCCGATTATAGCTTCTAATAAATACTTCTAAAAATGCTTTACAGCCATTGCTAGTATGGCATGTAAGCGAGTCCTCTGCAAATCAGCACGTCTACATATATCTAGCCATTTCTCCTAGCCATTTCGCCTGCCTGAAGGCAGCCAGAAGAAGGCACTAGCCGAGCATATCTAGCCCTGACTTCTTTGTGTCCATCTGCGAAAACGCGACGATCTCAAAGCCTATAAGAGCAGGAGCAGGTCAAGTTTCTCGCATAGTTTGCAGGTAAAGTTAAGTTATACATTCTCATTAAACTGAAACAAGCGTCTTTTAGTTGGGAGTGCCCGACTAGAAGACACTCTGAATCAAGCGGCGAGGTACTCTCGAAAACATGCTGGCTTTTTTCTATAGGAAAAGTATCCTTGAATAGCTAAGGTCTTTCTAGTCCAATTATAATAAAATGTTCATGTTCATAAACATATCCACAAAATGTGTGTAAATGCCAACGGTCAAGACTCTGCTTTAAAAATGAGTTATTTGGTTCTAAAGTCCTGGAACTATAAGGGAAGCAAAAACGCAGCCTTACCATAAATTGCCTATTTGATCTACAAAGAAGATTCGAATGTACTATGCTGGTCTATCTGAAACTTCAACGAAGTGGATAATTTAGTGCGGGTCGAACAAATAATTTCTGTCAATTTCCCAACAACGAATACACACATTAATTTACTACTGCCTGCATTGTGTGGGGCATTATATAAGACCGCAATCCAACCTACAATTTAGCAGTACTGAAATGCTGCTACATTTACCTGTCACTTAACCTAGACGACATTATGTCCGAACGGACCGTAACTAATCCCGCACAGACTCAGCAACAATTCAGTTTGTGAATCAATGTGACACACACCTGCAAGTACACAGTCTGAGCCTGCAGTATGTGGCACAGAAAGCACCGAGCATGCAAAACTTGTGCCACATCAGCGCATGGCAAGTGTCTGTCAACATCTGACTGTCAGTGCTCCCCCCTAGCTGCCGCTCCGCCCCCCCTGAATCACTCATTGACGCACACACTGTAAATATAAAGTGCCCATCCATGATAATCATAAAGCGAACCTAAGAATGCCTGTAATAACAACTTTGGTTACAAATCAAGGAGCAAATATAGTTTTTTGATTATATTAAATTTTTAATGCGTATTTATATAGTTTACGTACAAGTCGTGATATCTATTTTAGTTTGAATCATACGTAAGCGCCTTGTACGCCGGATGGGAGGCATCCCTCCAGCCGAACCTGTCACTGGGATGCTCACGCCTGCCCTGATGGAATCCTTGCTTCAGCTGCTGTGCCTGTTAATGCGATCCCGTACGCTTGGAAGTCCCAGGTCCCTTTGTTGCGCACAAGTTTGCACTCGCCCTGAAGGTGCACCCCATACGTGCAGCTAGAACAATTATATACTCGTGTAATTAAAGTTCAGGCTCGGCGTGCTGTTGGGCTTTGATGCGGTAAGTGCAACCACCTGAAACTGTGAGTAAAAACTATTTTAAGTTATTTCTATTCAAACAGTGCCGAAGTTTATTTACCTGCTAGTTCAGGTATACGTGTATAAATATGCTATTTTAAAATGAAGAATTCATGCAATTTCAACTTGTGTCGTTGTATTTTTAACAGCTGCATTTCCGTTTCCGTTTATCGGCCTGACAGCCGTTGTCCCTAATGTAACCAGCAATTGCCGAGACCCTCTCGGCTGCCATCCTTATCCCTGCCATAAATTGTAACTTGAATGCAATATTTTGTTCAAGGACCCGACGCCTTCATGCATCATCGTCGCAGCAGCGTGCCACTGAATTATGCGCCAATAAATTTGTTATTTCCACATGCAGCAACATTATTTCGTGAACCGCAGCTGTTCTCTACTTGGCAGCCATGTGCTAATTTAGTCTACTGTTTAACAAAATATTAGTTAGTCAAAACCGTGTGTGCACTCGCATTATGCACGACACTGACAGGGACAATTGGGCGCAACAGGGCGTATGCTTGACGCGAATGGACGCCGTTAAGCTAATTGCCTAATTAGGAGCTGTTGACTGTGCAAGGGAGGTATAAGACGATCCCATCTTAGATTTGCCGACTTTTCTATTTAATTGAAGGCGGCGCAATATTGTGCCACGTTGGTTTGTTGTTAAATCCCAAAAGGACTTATGGGTAAATACTCATATCACAGTTGGGACTTCTTATGCAATGGCAACTGGACCGCTTTTTATGGATGGTGTGATTTAAAAGGCTGGCTTTAAAAACTGTTAAGGCAACCCACGTGAAAGTTATCACTTGGCAGTAAATGTAGAAAACGCAGCGTGGATCCGCATGTTCATGTATCCACATAAGCATAAACAGGCGAACACATGTGCGACAATAAAATGCAGTTAGCGATTCGTGCGGAGAAACTACAGACATTTGTCCTGTTTGCCGCTTCTTGCCCACTTGGTGGTACATCCAGACTTCTGCCCGAAAATGGGGGCGCATAAGCTAACAGAACCACAATGAACGTGGCAATGGGTTTCCCATTTGAAAGCAACATTTGCCCAAACAAGCGAAGGCAACAAACTACAGCAGCAGCAGCAGCAGGTCCTGCTGCAGGAGTGAAAACGCAATTGAAAAATGCCACAGTTTGCATAAATCAGCGGAAAAGCGCCAAAGCGGCTCGCAAACCAACCGAACCAGGCACAACTGCTTCCTAGCCAACCGGGCAAACATGGCCAAGCGTGCTGTAAACATGGTCAACACCAGCTCAGGGCAAATATAATTTACTGATAATACGATTGGCAATCAAGAGGCCCATGTGAGCAGCTCGAATAGTTGCTCCTTTTTTTGATGCATCGCCAGTGAGAACGGGCCAGCTTGTTTGTCTGTCAGTTGGTTTAATAATTGTGAGGTGCTGAGGTGGAGCTGACGGAACCACAAAAGTTTAATCAACGATATCTAGGTAGATGCATTGTAGATGCATATACAACGATAAAGAATGCTCGAGGCTTGAGTGCCCTGCTTGGAGATACCCAAAACCGGGCACCTAGCTGAATTCGCAAATATAAATTTAAAACTCCCATTTGGAGTGCCTACACGGGTTATTAAATTATAATTAATCAAAAAGATTATAAATATAAATATTATAATTATTAAACAATAATATAAAAACGTACCAAGACATTCATTTGTTAAATGTTTCAATTCGTTTAACAGAAGAATAAACTAACAAGTAAGAGGCTCTCGTCGGGAACTCCCGACTAGAGGATACCCTGAACCCTCTTCTTCCAACATCAAATGCATATATATATTCTATTTTAGAAGCTATATGTCAAGTTTGGTGACACTAGCTCTTATTATTTACCAAAATTGCCCAAAAATATGATATCGATATCGATTTTTATCGATTGCTTGGAAACGGAGTAAGTTATCGATTATTGGAAGTCGTTTTGGAACGACATACCTCCGCGCGGAGTTATGTCGTTTTGGAACGTCATATCTCCGCGCGGAGTTATGTCGTTTTGGAACGTCATATCTCCCGCGGGGAGTTATGTCGTTTTGGAACGTCATATCTCCCGCGGGGAGTTATGTCGTTTTGGAACGTCATATCTCCCGCGGGGAGTTATGTCGTTTTGGAACGTCATATCTCCCGCGTGGAGTTGTCGTTTTGGAACGTCATATCTCCGCGCGGAGCTATTACCCGAGAGCTTTTACCCGGGGTAGATTCAAATATCAAAACTTTTTTGAATATTTTTTTGAAAATCTCGGGTAAATATAATCTGATTTTAAAATATGATACCTTTTTGAATTCGTACGGATCCCTACTATCATATGGCATTCACAGAAATTAAAAATTTATGGGTTGAAATGAGTTGTTGACCAAAAAACGTTTCGTTTGTAAAATCAACCTTTTTTGATCATTTTTTTAGACTATCTCGGCCAAATAATCTCAGATTTTGGAATTTTATACTATTTTTGACTCGTAAGGATCAGTACTATCAATTGGCATCAGAAAAATAAAAATCTAAATTTTGACCCAAATCTACCAAAAAGCAAGGGGTTACATCACGTTCAGGGTATAAAAAAAAACTAAAACAAGTTAACTTAGCTTACAGCATACTTTGGGTACAAGCCCAATGAATAACAATGGATCGTCCCTGCACCACGGGACAGTAAGGAAACAATCCAAAAGAATAAAAAACACAATAAGTTTCCTATAACGAAAACGTAAACCGATAAACAAATAAATACAAATACTGCACTTGCAGTATAAAACAAACCAAAGTAAAGAAAAGAAAATATATAATCTTACACTATCTAATATAGACACATTATCAAGTATGGACACATTATTACCTATTTATCCGATATGGATTCCCTTGTGACCTGCGCTTTTGTTTGAGTTGAGTTTGAGTTGCCAAAGTTATCTCCCTGAAGATGAATAGCAGATTGGACTCTGTGTTTTGGTGGTTTAAGCCAGTCACTAAGTTAAGTTAAGTTAGTTATTAGATTGAACTGCAAACATGGAAAAGAACAAAGTGAACTAAAGTAATCGGCCTATTGTACAATTTGGCTTTGGACACATTATTACCTATTTATCCGATATGGGTTCCCTTGTGACCTGCGCTTTTAATTCCGTTGTAGCTCTTTAAGTTTGAGTTGCCGCTCTTGTATTTGAGTCAGGGTCGGTGCCAGAGGCAATTCTAACGAGCTCTGCATGTTGCCTTCCCGAGGATTATGTAAGCACAAAGTACGCATGACTGCATTGAAAGCATCAATATTATTCTTAAGACACTTGCGGGTCCGCTCCGCATGCTCCTCAAGTTGAGTACAATGGTCTCGCAGTGAATTATTGCCAACATCTAATATCTGGGCGTAGGCTTGGTAGCTCCTATTTTGTTGACACAAGCAGTTTTGCAGTTCTTTTTTGGAATTGTTTCTTCGCCATATTTCAATGCAGATGCAACCCATTCTCTGATCAAGCTGTGTAGACTCCTGACTCAGCGCACAAAGCTGCTGCTGGTGAAAATTAAGCTGACTCTGCAGGTCGGCTTCTTCCTTGAACACGAGGCGTAGCTGTTGCTCTATTGAATTAGTCAGTTGTGCCTGTTCGGCCAGTTCAATTTCCGTATTCTGTAGATCCTGCTGCAGAGTAACGATGTCCTTGGCGCTCGACAATTCATCCGGAGCATCGCTTGTACTACGTGTGTTCTTACGAAAATCAAAATCGCATATGAAAACTTCATTCCCCGTCGGTGCAAGGTCCAAAAGAAAGTCCAATATCAGCATCAAGTGGTGCACAGACGCGTTGGGCACCAATAAACAAGATTTGTTTATTTTGTGTGGATATTTTAGCAGCTGCATCGCTTTAATCGTCTGCTCAATGTAATTTTCTTTATCCAATGGCTGCAGCCGAACGCCAGTAAACGCCAGCAAATGGCTGAGAATGCGCACAAGCTCGTTCACGTTCATTTTTTGAATGCCCCGCTTTGAGATCGAATTAAAAGCAGTTATTTGCTCGATGTAGACCAAAAAGCGCTCCTCCATTTTCTTCATGGCATCTTTGTTAAAGTCTAACTTACGCCTCGGTAGGCGACCATTTTCCCTGTGAGGCATAGGAAACTCATTCGATTTCGATACAGATGTCACGGTACATTTGGAGGTCGATGCCGAACGAGCGTTTGTGTGAAGAGGCGACTGCAATAGTTCCCTTGTGCGTCGAGGTTCTGAATAAAGGGTCTTGGACATTGGTCCCATTAAATTAGCGCATTTCGTAATATTTATTGTGGGAGCAGGAAGATGCCTCTTTAGCTGTCCTTTATTGGATACGGAATTCGGGAGTTGCTTCGCGTGCAACGGCGACTTCAAGAGTTCCTTAGTGGTGCGTGGTTCTGTGAGACACCTGTAACACAATCTCGTAATGCTGTTTGGCTTCAAACATATATATAAAAGTACATACCGCAAATAAATGTTGGGACTGGCGGCCTCCATCACTGTTTTATAAACTCGTTCAGGTTATTCAAATGTCAGCACTTTTATTATTTATATTGCGTCAATCAGCGCTCTTCTCACTGACGCCAAATAATATTTGGACACACCGGGCATGCAGCACGCAGTGTTGCCAGATATTCAAATAAATATTCGATAATATATGAATATTATCGAGTACGCAACGTCAATAAATATTTAAAAAGAAAACCTATCGAATTTGGTATCCAAGCAAAGTTACTTGTTTTGACTAATTCAAATTGAATTCAATTGTTTTAACTTATTTTCCTGTTGTAGTTTATTTTATTTAAAAGTCAACTCAAGAAAACTGAAAAAAAAAACTCTCATGGCTCCCAGAGCTGACACAATTGTCTCAGGTACTGCAAATACTAGAAACTTAAAATCTTAAATATTTATTCTCCTAAACCATACGCAATTTAAATTGCATCCTTTCATTTTGGGTATATCTTCCCATTTTGAAAACGCTGATAAAAATCGACTTTGACACCGAGTCTGATCCTGAACACTTTGTTCTACTGGCACTTTCGAGTAGAGTTCTCTAATCTGCCTTGGCAAATTATAAAATGGTTTAAAAACATTGTTAAATTAGCTATTTTCTGACAATATTTGAATAACTGTGCTACATTTTGATGCACATACACGCACTTATGATCTAAAATTAATCTTTACAACGATTTGTTGTTGGTGGAGAAGAATTTCCGGTAGACAATTTCGCATATCACTAAATAATTTTGCATTTATTTTATATAATACAGTACATGTTGCATTAAACTAATTAAATATATATTGTTTATATATATAATCATATAATTTATAAACTTTATACGCCTTCATTACATAACTTTCGCTTACACAACTACATTTATGTAGTTGTTCTCAAATTGCATTTAGTTTGCAAACATACCCGAGTTTACAGCTGGATTTTTGCTCTAAATTTGTTAACAACAATTATTGCTATTTTATGAATTTAAGTGTGCCGTTACAATTTTTGAAATATAACATGTTTAGTTTCTTGTAAGAGTTGTTCCTTATTTCTTGTGTGTTGTGTTGCTATGTGCTAAATGATTGCTTTACAAGTTAAAAATCTTTATCTATGCATTCATAAACATCTGCACTTCTCAATATTCAACTGATGGCCAAATAAATATTTGTTTGAATTATGACAACAGCAATTTGAATTATTTACAACATTGTATAAAACTATAAAAGAACATAAAACTTTACATTCCTTGTTTATTACTGAAGTATTTGCATGTATGTAAATATATATTTATATATTGATTTATTTGTGGACCGTTTGAAAGACTAACAAGTTAAAATTTCATTTCTTTCAAAAATGCCTACACAATGCGTTCTGCTCGGGCGTGTGTGTGTGTGTGAATCTCAGTTGTTTTATTATCATTGAATAGATCATAGGCCGAAACTTAACATGGAGTGCAAGGATTGAGCCAAATAAGCCTAAAGAAAATGTATGTATTTCTTTTTAAATAGCTATGCAAACGCAGGAATAGGATGCATTCCACACAAGGGAAATGTGAACATAGTGTCTACATTATAGTTATACATACGTATATGCATGTAGGTATATGTATAATAATAACAGTAACTATCAACGTAACGGACGACAACGGGACGCTCTCAATTGGAATTAAACATTAATCAACAAACTGACCACAAATCGACTACCACTCATTCCTGGCAGAAGCCCTCAGTCTCCTCAATGGCAAAGGTCAATTTTTCCACCAACTGATCGTAACTCTTATAAGGCGGCAAGTCTAGTCGATTGAAGCACGTATGGGAGCGCGGCAGCCAGGTCTCCTTGCCCACCTTCTCGATGCAGAAACGCTGCGGCCCATTCGAACCCATCAGCTCCGCAAAGCCACCGACCGGAACTCGACATGTACCCGTTACAAACTGCAATAGACGGGCTCGCTTCTCATTGTCCGTTTCGCGTACAAACTGAAATAAAGTTCGACGGATAATTAGGGAATTAATAACGAAAATTGATAAGTTGCTCTTACCTGCCAAAACCAGACAACTTGCTTGGAATTGCGATTGTAATGTCTGTATATTGTGTTGCGCTGCCAGTCCTCAACATCTACGTCCTGCATACCGCACAGTATCAGCTCCAGCTCGCGCTCGTCAAAGTACTTGAGCCACTCTAGGGGCACAACTTCGTTGAAGCCCTCAAGGAACGTCTTGGTCTGCTGCTCAATGCCACTATACAATTATGAAATGGAGAAAAAACATCAATAAATGTACAGGAAGCAATGACTGGAATTAAACAATTACCGGGTCATACGCCACTCGGTCATGAGTGTTATATACTCCTCCTTGTTCTCCTCTGTAACGCGCTCCTTCTCGCCATTCTCTTTCAGCTCGTGGTGTATTATCTGGCCTAGAACTTCGAAGTCAACGCTGAACCACAGCTCTAGACCACACTCGTCAATGTTATTGTCTCGCACCCAGATGAGCGAGTTGTAGAACTCGGGATCAATGGTCTCAATGTCCTTGATGGTCAGCTTCTTGTTCAGCATACGCTTGTAGAAGGGCATCGTAAAGCCACTGTAGATAAAACGACCATGGTACAGGGCCATGGCAATGAACCGTCCAATGAACTTAAAGTACTGCAAGTGGTCCGGGTTCACATAGGACGCAGGATTGATTTGTAGGCTATAGTTGTTCTTGTTTGCGTACTCGAACAGACAGTACATGGGATTGAGCACCTCGTGCGACAACAGAAAGAACCACTCGCGCGACACACCGCCATAGTCCAGACCCTCCTCCCCACGAAAGATTATGTACAGACGGCGGCGCAGTTCGTAGGCGGGTAGGCGCATAATCTGATGATATGAATCCTCGAACAGCGTCTGCCGTGTGACGGTGATCTTGATATGCGAAGGCAACGCATTGCTCTGACACAGGTAGCGGAACTGGGACAGCTTCCAGCGGAAGCTGCGCTCGTAAGCGCGCGGTACGCCATAGACGCCTTTGGCGCCCTTCGGCGCACCAGGCCGGGGGTCTTCGAAGGTAGTGCGCCGCGTGTTATGATCAACAAAAAAGCGCTCGCCAGCAGCCGTGTAGCGGATTTCCCAGCCCGGTGGCAGTGGACCCTCGTTAATCAGGCTCACCTCTTGTCCCTGAGTACGTGGATCCTCCCATTGGGTGGTGCGGTTCTTGTGATTTACAAAGTAGACTCGGTTATCGGATTGCACCTTTTTCTCCCAGCCATCGGGCAGCGGACCCAGCGCATCTTCGTCGTCTTGCGTTACTGGCGCTGTCACAGCCGTCGGTTGCTGCTGCTGCTGTGAATAAAGGAACCGCTGATTGCCTTGGGCCACAACATGAGCGCGCTGGCCCTGCCAGTGCTGGAAGTGCATCAGGCGCTCGCTGTTCGGCCGTTGCCAGGTGGTCTTTCGCGTGTTGTGGTCCACATAGTAAACACGACCGCGCACATCCTTGCGTATCTCCCAGCCGGGCGGTAACGGTGTCGGCTTTTCCCAGTACGTCGAACGTGTGTTGTGATCGACGTAATAGCGACGTCCGTATTGATCCAACCGTATTTCCCAACCGGCCGGCAACAGCTCATCTTCCGCTGGTTGTGTCTGCAGCTGCGGATCTGACCCATTGCTTACAGGTATCCCAGTGCCACATGCTGGTTGGTCCGGCGTTCCGCTTAGCATGTATGTTCCCTGTGCGCCGTTCTCCATCGGCCCATTCGCGTAGACTGGCGCCTGGGTCAATGGACGTTGCTGTGCCGGCACTGGGGCCGGCGGTTGTTGTGGGTAGGACGCTGTCTGCGGCACAGCCGCTGCGGTGCCATTAGCCAGGCGCAGCGGCTGCTGAGGTTGTGCAACCTGTTGCTGCTGCTGCTGTTGCTCCCAGACTGGCGGCGCAGCTGAGCGTCGTTGTTCCGAGGATATACCGTTAGACTGTGGTGAACGAGTAGCCGCCGGCGGCTCCGCATTGCTGGAGCGCATAGGCATTCGAGCACGCACGCCTCCATAGATCATACAGCTACGTCCTGCGGCAGCAGCATCGCTCACCGCAGTGTTGACCGCCTGGACGGCAGTGCCATTTTGTTGCAGCTGGACTACCTTGCTCATGTCCAGCTTAAGGCCGTTGAGAATAGCCACCAGTTCGCCACTTTTGGTTTGTCGGTTGTCCGACTTGGAGGTCACAAACAGATCTATGGTCAGTTCGAGGTACTCGCAGCGCCCGTTGTAATGGTGCAATATGTGTGCCAATTGAATGACGCGCTCGCCAAGCATTGCATCCTTGCGAAAGCTCGAATGGTCCAGCACCTTGAAGTGCAGCGTCGAATTGGGCGTTATCTGAAGCGTGTGTAAATTCAAATTAAATTTGGTTAAAGAACTTGTTTTTGCTTAAAGACTTTTCGCCTCTCACTCACCAGCACTGTGAACTCCTCGTTCCATTTTGGCAGATAGCTGTTCTTCACCAAATCCGTCTTTCGCTTGCTCTTGCTGTCTATCAACAGCTCCACATAGGGATTCGGTTTTAGAAATCCATTATTGCGCAGCGAAGCCTCCTCAACTATAAAATGCAAGCGAACATCAATTTGTATTTGCAACATACCGAGAGTTTTTCATATACTCACTTGTCACGCTTAACTGATAATATCCTTGATTGCTGTTCCCATTGCTGCTGCTACTTGCACTTCCACTTGCACTCCCGCTCGCACTGATGCTGCTACTGCTGCCCGATGCTGCTGGGGCAGCAGACGTTCCCGGCTGGTTTGGATTGGCAGCGCTGTTGTTTACGGTTTGTGGAGCGTCGAGGGCGCTGTTGCCAGCACGAGAAGCTGCTGCACCTGCTGCCTGAACATTACCATCGGCCATTTATTGGCTGCTCCTAGCTACTAGCTAAACTTCGAGCCTATTATTCCTGCCCAGCTGTTCGTCGCCGTTAGGGGCTGTGAGGAGAGAGCAGCGACAAATTGTTAATTTTCGTTCTGACAATTTGTAGCTCTACAAAAGGTATCAAAAAAAAAAAAAAAAAGATTGCGACAGCAAATTTGATAAGATTGCCGCCAGGCCAATGATTTGCCAGCAAGTAAGCGAGAGTCGGAAATGGTTTATAAAAACAAGCCACAAACCCATATAAATACATATGCTTTTAAATATACACATGCCACATGTATGTATCCATACAATAAATGTATGGCGCGTTCCTAAACATGATGATAGCTTGTTAATATGTGCTGGATATCAACTGAGCAAAATACAACCTGATAACAAGTCAGAGTACTTGAGTTTTCGGGATACCAGACTAGAAGACACCTCGTCCCACAGGATGGAAAGTGCATTCCTCAATAACTTCGGCATTCTCTGTTCTATCTTTTTTAAAATAAGGCTTAAATTTTATATCCTACAAGAGATGCTTCCTTCTACCAGTCAAATAGATCAATCATTTGATTTGGTTGAGATGAGATGTTTAAACCAAAACGTTATAGATTTTATAACAAATTAAAATTAAGATTAAACAGCTAGATTTGGAAAATTCTCCATAAATACTCTGGCAGACTTTTATCTCAAAAGTGTCTTTTTAACCCAGACTTTAATTTCCGACAGATGATTTTTATTCTCGCTTTATGATATAATATTTCGAGCAGCTAGCAATTGCTGAGTCTGACTAGTATATTGAAATATTGAAAAGGAAAACAATTTTTCATATCGGATCTAAGTTTAATAAATTGGGCCGCTTGCTAGAAACAGACTCGACACGGATGTGCCTCTATTATACTATAATAAGGGTATAAAAGTCGTGAGGTTGGGTTTTCCGCAAAGTGAACGCTCGCCGCACAAACAAACAAACACAAATATGTATGGCTTATTAATTGTAGCTATCGTATATTTTTCCCGGTCAGCAGTCTTCATCTAACTACAAATATACATAACATACTTACTGTACCGAGACATATCGCGCGTAGTTTTATACATATGGCTGTTTCAGAATAATTTTGATATCACGCAGCCCACCTCCCCACCTGCCAGAATGGGTTGTATAACCGTGCCAATGAGTCACATGAAAAAAGTACCCTGGCAATACAATATATAGTATATGGACATGAACTGCATGCACAGAAGAAATATATTTAGATGAAACTAGTGGGAATTTGGTGAATGCAGCGCCTATTAATTATATAGCTATTATCACTATGATATTCTATTTAATTGTTAACTAATTAGGGCGCTCTTCTTCAGTTTATTAACTGTTATTTATTTGATATGACCGTATTCCTACGTGCGGAATGTGGGAAGTTGGGGTTTTTGAAAGTGGGCAAACGTCTATTTACTTGATTGTAAATTCAGCAATAATTTAAAGTGGAGTGCAAAACAATAGTAGATTTATTAATAATCAGTAAATAGAGAGCCTGAAATAATACATATGTCTGTTGTGCCTCTGTTGTTATCGAGTAGGCACGTATGGGATTGTGCTAGTATGTGTGGTATTTTCCTACATACATACGTACGTACGTATACTGATATGATGAGGGCAGGCCAAGATTATGGGCAAAAGGAAACTCAAATAGGTAATCAGCGGAGCGAGACAACAGCTGCGTCGTTGGACTTTTCAAACATACGTACGTATGTACATTGATGTATATGCATGTATGCACTTATAGTTATCTATGCACATGAATAAATGCCTAAAAATGCATTGACACACACTGACACACTGATCGGTTAGGGAAGGGGGGGTGGAGTGGGGCGCGCATTAAGACACCTGAAGCGTAAGTACTTACAAGCAAACATATCGGTTTATATATTATACACCCGCACACAACACACTAACACTAATACACTCGCACTCGCACTCATGTAACGCACACCACTCCTATGCAAACCGTTTATTGGTATGTGTTTACATGCATATGCATGGGTATGTGTGTCACACTGTTTGTTTGTAATTGAGGCAAAGGTCGCGGCAACGCTGACACTTCATTCTTGCTTGGAGACAGACAGAGAACTAACTAAAAATACGACGCACATTTCATTGCACACAGCTGCTTTTGACTGTAAATGGGAGTTATTTCTAACATTACCTACATTACCGTCCCAATTGTTTCGCTTACCTCCTGCTCTTGTTTTTCTACAATTTATGTGCTATCAGCGTCTGTCTTATTACTGTTTCGACGAACAAACAATAATCGCGCGATTTGTTTAAAATTATTTATAACGGGCGCGTTGCACTTGATAGTCTAATGAAGCTTTGCATTTTGTTGTTTTTAGTTGGTTTTGTTTAAAAGGCAGAATCAATGCATTGGCAAAAAATTAGTTTTCGTTTCTGCTTAGTGTTACCGGTCCGACAAATTATGAAATACCAAAAACTCCGTAAACTGACTATAAAAATACCACAACAAGGAATATCATAAGAGTACATACTTCATTTTGGCGGCTCGAAAATAAAATTCGTTTTTTATTTATTTTTTTCAAAATGAAGTTGAGTAAAATTTTAAATTTTCTGCAGTTTTGTGTTGTTAATGTGTCTGAAAACAGTAATTAGAAAACAGACTGGAAAGATAAGCGAGTTTGATATAGTTTTTCTTCGCAAAAATCTATAACAATTAAAGATCATAAAAAACCTTCCATTATTATGAGTGCTAATAAATGCAAAGCATATTTTTGCGATACGGCAGTAAAAACAGAATGTTGCACTCTAGTATTTTGATTTCAGTTTAAAAAATGTCTTAAAAAACACCCGATACATTTTAATACCAAAAAATACGCCTAGCAATAATTTGAACAAGACTATCGCTTATCGATTGTCAAAGTTATTGATGCCATATAGCCGTTATTCGCAATGCCTTATTTGATTTTAAATTTCAATAGTTCTTTTCGGCAGCCGTTATAAAATTGGCTTTATGGAAACTTAATGATATACTATAAATACATGTATAAGTAAAAAACAAAAAAAGTATTTAAATTAAAAACAGCGTAATGCAAAAAATAAATTATGTTAAATTACAAATGTGATACCTTATGGGGTTTTTGTTGGCTAGATAGTATCCTATTTGTCAAATTATATATACCATAAAAATATGCAAGGTAACGATATTCGCAAGTTACCGACTCCTTTAAAAAAGTTTACCGACTCCTATTCATAGGTCATAAAAATGGATCACGTGTGTTATATCAAATATACCTTTAATGATGCATTAGACCATGTTTCTAACATAATCAAATTCAAAAAACAATTCCGCATAAAAGTGAATTTACTTTTACTTACCATCTTCTTGATTTGTGTGTCGCCACATCCAGCTTGTTTTTATAAACAATTAATACCTTCCATTTCGCCTCCTGAGTGCTCGCTTATATATGTATATATACTTTGTTTGTTTGTTAGTTGTACTTAATGGGAGTGCCAACAAAAAGCGCCCAGCTCGGTGGGTATTTTTCACGCTTTGCTCCATATTCAAGTCTCGGTTCACATTTCTCTGAGCTGCCGGTCCGAGCGCTAACTATGGCAGCGCAAAGTGAAAATTATTAAAATTTAACGTTGTACAAATCTTGGATGTGCAGCCATTCGTATCGCGCGCTTTGTCTAAAGCGGAAGTTTGCTTTCGAGTCGGATATTGTCAACAATAGAAAAAATCTAACGAAATTAGCTAATTCGCCAAGTTAATCATCGATATGCATGGCTCTTTAATATATGTGTGCCTTCTAATCAGTCTATTTTACTTTTCGGAAGGTACGCCAAAGATTCAAATCGGAAATGTGTTATGTGAACTAAATGGAATATTAAGAGAAATTTCGAAATGTCAAGATTACATCATTCAAAGATCGGAGAACTGATTTGCATTAAATGCAAATTTTGAACTGGATATTTATTATGTACTCTCCGCTTTCTTTTTTCCCTTTTCCTGCTGTCATCCAGGTAAGCCGTGCCCTGAAAAGTCGCGTCGCCACAAGACCCGCTGCGATGCCTATTATAAATGCCGCGATCTGCCCTCGAACTCGCACGTCTGGATTCCCACCAAGTGCAATGAGGGACTCGTATACGAGCACAATGTGGGCAGCTGTGTGCTGCCCGGCGAAGACTGGGAATGCATCACCCCAAGCGAACTGGAAAGCACATCCAACAGTCTCCCGGGCAAGGACGCCGACATAATCATCGTTAACACCGAAGACGAATCTGGACTTTTGCTCAAGGAGTCCTCACACTTGCAGGACGACGATAAAAGCGTGGACATCGTGCTGGACGCCACCATCAGCAGCGAGGAGAGTGAAGACAAGAAAAGTCCAGCTCTGCCCGCGCAGCAGGCTAGTGAGTATGAAAGCTCCTCTTCCAGCCAATTCGATTCCAGTGGCGACGGAGAACTTGTCGACCTGGATGGTCAGCTGCAGGCAGCAACTCGCGAGGGTGAGGTGAAGATCGGCCATAACAGCAGTCAGTCTGCTCCTATGGCTATGTTCATGGAACCATCGTCGACAAACAGCGGCGAGCATATGACATTTAATAGCCAGCTGGGCTCACCCATCGATCCGAATCTCACCGCGCATCTGCAGCGTCTCTCCCAGCTTATTGATGGACTGCAGCAGAAGTACCAGAAGACGGATAAGCCTCAGTTGGAAATGCGCCCGGATCAGTTGAATGCCTTTTTGGCCCACTTTGATTTAAAAAACCATTTCGATATGATCAATCCTTTGGGCGGCCACATGGAGACAACTGCTCCAACTACTACAATGAAGCCAGCGGCTGCATTGGCCAGCACCATTGCGGAACAGCCTGTTCCCTTGCCCAGGCCAACGGTCAACAAGACTCTGCTGCAGGAACACTTGACCAAGCATCGCATGCAGCCGGAGACCAAACTGATCCTGTCCAGCGCGCAGCCCTTCTCGTCGCATGGCCAGGGCTATGCAAACTCTCAAATCGTGGTCAACCGTCCCGAGGGATCGGTCACGTTTACACTGCCCCAGTATGGCCATGGCGCGGAGCAGACTCAGCAGAATAGTCAAGCGCAGAGCCACGAGTACAACGATCATGAGCCCAAGGTCTCGGAGGAAACATTGAAAACGGTGCTGGAGCTGTCCAAGCAGATGATTGCTGCCCAGAACCTGCCCAAAGTGCTGCCGAATACCGCCTACAATGGGGCCTTCTACGCGCCGCCCATTCTACAGCCCGTTATACTGACACCGCACGGTAATCCCTTCCAGCAATACTATCCAATGCAGAACTACGAGTCGCAGCCACCGCCGCCGCCGCCACGGACCCATTATGTGCATCACAAAAAAGCGAGCGGATACAACAAGAAGCAGCCGAGTACCACGATCATTCACAACAATGTGATCCCCGTGCATGTGTCCAGCACCAGCTCTGGGGAAAAGGAAGTACTCGATACCTATGGCAACAGCTTGGGCGTCTATCCCAGCCTCGACAACAATCACAAAAACAATCAACTGGACGAAAGCAACAGCAGCAATAACTACTACAACAAATTCATGACCACGATGACAACAGCACGACCCAGCTCCGGGATGTCGGTCACGACGATGAGCAGCCAGTACACGGGCCAATATGCGGCTCCATATGCAAGCGAGTTTGCACAGACGACGCCTCGTCCCTTCGAGGAGCAGCCGTCAGCGGCAACGGTGGCCTCCTACTACACGCCCAGTCCGCATCTGGATGAGAACAACGCGCATCGGGTCTTCCATGCGGAGAGCTACCCGACATCCATGGACATTGGCATGAATATGCCGCGCCCGATGGATGCGCATAGCCCGTACCCAATGCACATTGATCCGGATCGAGTGAAAATACGACCCAATTCGCATAAAATCGAAAGCATGGAAGCGGAGGCTGACGATGCGATTAACGCGAACTATGTCAACAGCAATGCGAATAACAACCAGAACAAAAATCGACACGTACTGACCTACAGCAGTGCCGGATCGACGGACACTGGGATGCTGGGCATGAGCCATCAATTAGCACCTGGCTCGTATGTGGAGCAGAACTATGCGATGCCCCAGAATGTGGCGAATGCGCAGCAGCAGCAACATGATTATCAGGCCCCTTACATGGCCAGCATGAGCAACAGCGTCTACAGCGATGCCGTCGGGAGCAACATGTACAGCTCTGGAGGGGGCGCGGGAATGGGAGCTGGCAATGGCATTCAGATGATGCCCGGCAAAATGAAGTACCCGTCTGGGCTGGGCCAGCTGGTTAACTTCAACGGCAACTTCATCAGCTTGGACGTGTTCCAGAAGTCGATACTGCCATTGATAACCCAGTCTCCGTCCGCTTTGACGGAGCTGGGCAAAGTTGAGGTGATCACATGCCAGGCGGGCGTGCGGCAGCCCAACCAGACGGACTGCACACGCTATTTTGTGTGCAGCAAAAAGGATGGCAAAGTCTTGTCCTACTCCTGCCCACCCTACACGGGATTCAACAAGCAAACGCGTATCTGTGATGCTGCCACCTATGCCCAGTGCGGCAACATGCCCATCTTCAATGGTTACTCCATTGAGGAGAACCGGCGACAGCAGATGGAGACGCTCAAGATGCTGGCGGAGGCCAAGCGCCGGCAAGAGGCGACGCTCAAGAGTCAGAGCATTGCCAATATACTAAAGCAATACGGCAGCATGCAGGAGCCGGCAGCTCCTGCAATATCTTCAGGCATAGACCAAAGCCTATTGGACTCGTACATGGTCAGTCTGCCGGACCCCAGCAGCACGCCACGTCCCACGCCAGCCATAGCCACATTGCCGCCGATCAGCAACAGCAGCGGATCCGTCAAGAAGCGCAAGTACTACTGCCGAGAGGGCGATAAGATTCCCGACCAGACTTCGATCAGCAGCTATTTTGTCTGCTACAAGACCGCGCAGGGCCAGATGAAGGGGCACAAGATGACCTGCTCGAAAGGGCTGCTCTTCTGTCCGAGAACGTTAATGTGCACCCTGGCCAGCAAGTGCTCGGGCTAGTTGGAACTAGAGAATTTGTTGCCGATTGAGCCTTTTGTCTTTGACTAGTTTTGTAAGTTATTTATTCTAATTTAAGCATGCTAAGCGACTAATTCTCTTCATTAAACTTAGTAATGACAACTCACAAGTTCGTTTTTATTTAATATGCTGCTGCTTATTAGGTTGCTGCAGGTTCAAGAGGTCATCGTGAAAGTAATGCCATATTCTACCTGTCGAGCACGTTAAATACCTTGTGTCACAATTTCTCTCATGACACTCGCTTTTAATACCAGTTCTTAATTGGCGCGGACGACCTTCCTATAAAACTTGACATACTCGCGACTATCAACTGACATGTATGCCCAAACTGGTATACCCTTGCCGGCAGTCCTATCACTTTATCATCAACTATGCAACATGCTGAAAGATTCAGCTTCGATCCAGCGTTAGTCGATATGCAAACTATATTCTCAGTTTATTATCATTAACACGTTGACTAAATTGCCTGGAAGAGTACTGAAAATTCGGCACTTTGAACATGGCCAGTTTTCATGTTTAAATGTATGCCAAGATGTTAGATTGTAGGTACTTGCTATGGTAGGAAGTTTCACTATTTTAATGTGCTCATAAGTTTTAATGTGCTGGCAGCTTTAGTAGGTTGTTATATGTACTATATATACCTTTTATTTATGGAATAAATGAAGCATATTTCATTTTCACTCAGTTAAATATGTTGAGGTGAGAGTGTTTCAGTACGCGAAAGCCAATATCTAGGTTGGAAGGTAAAAACATAAAAATATTAAGTTGCCAGTCGAATTTTAATTTCAACTTAAAGCATAATTGTGTTTATTTATATGGTATATAAACATAGCTGACTTTGTAGGCAATACGTTTTTATACCCTGAACCCATTAAAAATGGGTACAAGGGTATATTGTATTTGTTCAAAATCCAAATGTATGTAACAGGCAGAAGGAAGCATCTGCGACCCCATAAAGTATATATATTCTTGATCAGCATCAACAGCCGAGTCGATCTTGCCATGTCCGTCTGTCTGTCCGTCCGTCTGTCTGTCCGTCCGCATGTATGAACGCAAGGATCTCAGAACCTATAAGAGTTAGAGACTTGAAATTTTAGATGTAGATGGATGCGACAATAAACATTTAGATAAATTGATGGACGGACGGAAGAATATCGACAAGCCTGTTGAGCTTGGAATTTAAATGTTAATCTGATTAGAATGAATTTGTATGGAAATTAACTATGGTACAGGCATAAGCGAAGTGAAAATTAATTTTAATAAAATATGTTATATTTGTTTTTGCATAGCTACAAAGCATCTGCTGTAGAACAAAGCTTGGGCAATTCCAGAAAAATAACTTTTCGATTGCCTTGTGTTTTTAAAACTAATCCTAATGCATACCACATTTGGCTCAACTGAAAGTACAAGCAAATGAATTATCAAAAAGGTTTAAAAAACAACTTTTTGAAAAGCCAAAGCTAAAAAGCAATGTATACGCAGATACACAAGTACGAGCCAGCTAAGCTAACGTTTTATTTATTTCTATTCTAGATTCAATATTATTCATATTCATATATATCTTTGAAATTGAAGAAGTGCACATCTATCAACTTGGCCAAAGAGAGAAATGCCACTTTCACCTTTCATCGAAGACGAATAATCTGCTTTTAATTGTCTTACTATAATTAGTATCTAATAATTGTTTAAATTAATACTCACACAATGCTGTGCACGCGTCGCCAGGCGTATTAGAAATTTCTTTCTTGCAATTTAATATGTCACTCACGCATCAACTTCTCCCAACTGGAGAAATGATCATCTAGTACTCCAACAACAACAACAAAATAGCCAAAAGGTGTCACTTTTCTCCAGACAGCCACTGATGATATTGGCTGTAGTTAAGTCAATATATTTGATAGCCATGTGCCATGCATAACCATCTGCTGGGATTTTCTTAACAATAGCAATTACAATAAACAAATTTGCGCATGCGAGCGACCTTTGGCAATACTTTTCACGAAAGCATGCTACAATTAAAGCACCGAAACATGGGGCAGATGAAAGTGGTTTTGCACTTATTGCACAGGTTTCTGAAAGGTTTTTTAATCTCTACTAGGGTTTCAATTTGTTTACAGTGGCACGAACCGGTCCCGGCCCCAGTTGTCCGTAGACTGGTTAAAATGGCAACAAACAGATTTTGTGCTCATAAAAACAGAAACTTAAAATGAAAATGGGATAAATACATATTAAGTTAAAAGGTGATAGAGAAATGGGTAATATTTATTACTACTCTACTTGCATATAGTTTTACAGTTTATCATTATTTTCTTGAACATTATGTTGCACATCACACAAACACAAGAGATCTTTACTTCGATTATGATTTCCCATTTCAACAACTAGATATCAGTTAGGGTACTATTTCGAATGATCTATAATTTATTAATTTGATCTTCGATTTAGTACACTGCTTTCAACATTTAACAACTACTTAAAGTTCTATATTTTAAATATGAATATTGCTTTACACAGAGAGCTACTAGTACAATAAGATGCTTGAGAACTCATTTCATTTGCGCTGCTTGTTGACATTTATAGTATAAACATTGCTTTTTGGTAACATATTTCACAACAAGTTTTCTATTTGATTTGAAATACACGACCTTTTGCCCTTGCTCGGCTACTTGGGAAAATATTTCAATAAGACAAATAAGATATTGATTTCAATGTTTTAAGCAATTGATTTGCTTAATATTTTATAGTCTAAAAAGTATTTACGATTAACTTGCGTTAGTTTATAATTCAATTATCACATTCTCTTTGATGATGATATATATTCATTTTCATTTGGACTCGTTTCACAACGAGCTTTGCTTTTAGAGCGAATTTTAAATAAATATTGCTGTAGGATTATTATTTTTTCTTCCATTAGTTTGAACACGGAAATCATGGAAAGCGTTTGGAGAATTTCAAGTTTTAACTTCACGCAGTTGTTAGAAAATTTACCTAGCCCTCGTATGGCACATAAGGCGTAGGAACATAGTGTATAAAACAATTCCATGGATAACTCCAGCTCAGACCATGCCGAAACCCTCGCTGCCCTCGCTGATGGCCAGAAGCAGCGATTTCTCGAATTGCTCATAGCTCTCGTAGTCCGGAAGGCAGAGCTGATTGAAGCTGGAAGAAGACAACAGAACAGAAGTTAAGAGGCACGTGATGGGGCATACATACGCACCAAGTGTGTGCCGTGGGCAGGTTGCCAAACGTGGGCGCCGCAGTTATTTGGAATTGGGGATTGAGCTCCTGAAAGCCGCCGGGTGGCAGCTGGGAGCAGCCCGTGGTGAACTGCAGCAGACGCGCCATTTCCGTCTGGCTAAAGTTGCTCACGCCCGCCCAAAACCAGGCGAGCACGCGCCGAAACTCGGCCGAGTTTCCATTGGCAATGTGATGCGACTTGAAGTCGCTTACGGAATACTCCCCAGTGCCACACATCAGTAGCTAGCAGAGAATGGAATATATACTATATTTGTTGCAACAAATAAAGTGTCTTTACCTCCAGTTCGTTTTCGTCGAAAATGCTTAACAAGTTGTCCGGAATGATAGCATTCAGGCCCTTTAGAAAACTGTCGACTTCATCCTTAACGCTATTGCACAGCCGCTGCTGGGCCAAAGCGTCTAGATATTGATTTTTGGTAGCGTTGGTCACGCGAGTCTTGGCACCATTTGGAATAAGTTCTATGGTCTTGTTCAGCTGGCCGCTGGCATCGTAGAGGTCCTCCACGAAGTACAGCTCCAGGGTGTCCGTGTCATCCAGATCTGTATCGAGTATGTACTTGATCTTTGACAGATACAGATCTGGATCGTCCTGCTCAAAGTACTAGAGGACCAAAAACAAATCTCAGAAATAAAACAGATGTAGTAAAAAGCATCCCACTCACCTTGTAGTGCACCCTTAGCCCAATGAGCTGGGCCAGAAAAGAGCGACTAAACCGCGCGCGGACCAGTTGGCGATAACTGCCGCCCAGGGCACTCTCGAAGAGACATTTGCCGACCATTTTCCCGGCGAACTCAAAGTACTTGAGCTTCAGATGCGAGGGCCGCGTGGGATTGGGATGCACCAGTGCCTGGTGCTTGTCGTGGAATGTACAAAAGAGGCCGCCGCGCGAGTCAAACAAGGCGCTGCAAACCAGCTCGAACCACTCGCGGCGCAGGCCACCCCAGTCAATGCCCTGCTCTCCCTGGAAGGTGACCTCGAAGTTGCCGCACCAGTCCGACACCGAGAAGCCCTTGGTGGCCTTCATGCTGCTCTCCAGAATCTTTTCGCGATGCACCTTAAGTGCCATCTTCTCATGATAGTAGCTGGCATGGAACTTGCGCACCTCGTGATAGAAGAAATCCTGCTTGTCCTTAAAAGTCTCGGAGCCGCCAATGTTCTTCAGCAGAAAATGCGTAAAGGTGGCTGCAATTATGTTGCGATCCTTTGAGGCCAGCTCAATGCGCGGCTGCGCTCCATCGTCTATGATGAACACCGGCCCGTGCAGCTGACTTACCAGCTGGGGCAGAAAGTGGAACTTGGTCGACGGACAGAGCCGAAAGGTCGCAATACGTTTGGGAATGAACTTCAATATCATTTCCTTGATCGTCACCTGAAAGATCAACGAGTTCTGAGCCTGAACATTTCGCACAATCAATTTCATCTGCAACTATGAGACTCACCTGTTTCGGTCCCACATAGCACATCACCTTGCGCGGCTTGCTCCTCGTCGTTCCGTAGATGCTCAGCAGCTTCGCCTCGTAGCAAATGTTGTGCTTCCGCGAGGCTATGTTCTTGTGCACGAGCGTTGTGTCGCTACCTTCAAATACATTCAAGGGTTAATAGATTAATTAACAACAATTATTAGCTATTGAGGTGCTGACGAGTGAAAGTATTTAATTTTTGAGAAAATAAGACTTGTATCCTGTAAGGATATATACTATACAAGAATCTACAAGCGCAGGTT